TCAGCAGGATTATGCAAATATTTTCAAAGTACTTTTGAAAAATAGAGATATCACAAATTTGGCTCAACAGAATCAGCATGCATATGAAATCCTACTCTTAGCAGCCATTTGAGCTATCTAAGTCTGCAGAGTTTCCTACCTGCTATCTCTGTATTCGTGATCTAGCAATGAATACAATCCCTCAGTAGACACACATCTGTCAGTAGATCAGTAGACACACATCTGTCACATCTGTTTTCTTCCACCAGTCTTATTGGACAGATAGATAACTTTCTTACTCTCTGATATCTTAATGAGAAGGGATATCAAGCCAGCAAATACTAAATAATACTTAGAAGGCTTGATATATTCAAACATTTCACCAAAAAAAATATTAGTGATATCTGCCTCTTGCTGATCTTGGTCACACATGCCATACAGGGAAATGACCTATGCAACTAATCAATACCTTATCATTTTTACAATTAGTCACAATTATTTTGAAATGAGAGAATAAAGTAAAGTTTTAAGTTATTCTAATTGCAACATAATTTCACATTTTTAATTTGGAAAATGCAGGTTTGATTAAAATGGCTCAATTTCAAGTGTATTTTATATCTTTTAAAAACAAAACATATAAATGAAGTAATTATTTTGTAATAGTGAGCTACTTACCCATTCCAGTTGTAATCTGATACAGAATTATTAATTCCTGTTGCTTTCACCACCAAAAAATGCTAGGTGTCTTGGGGTTAGCAGAAAACAAAAGACAGAACAGTAACAGTGAAAACAAATTTATATTTCTTTTACCATGTAGAAGTAGATTACTAGTGTATAATGAGTAACGTCACACCAATTATGCAAACAATAGGTAGAATGTTGTTAAGATTGACGTTGTTATTGAGCTAAATGCAGTACTGCTAAATTGTAGCTATTTACTTTTCAAAGCTGCTGGAATTGTGCTCTTTAGTGAAGCAGACTATTCTCCGGAAATGTATTTGTCTATCACATGGAAGAGAAGAGTAGCTATATAAATGTATATAAATAGGTATATGACATTTCTTTACCTACCTAAAGAAAGTACCACAAAGTAAGAAGAGTACATTCACTATCTAAAAGTTAATGAAACACACAAAAGACCTTTTTTCCTTCCAAATTACTGTAATAGCAACAGCTTTAGTTATTTGTAATACAAAACACATCAATTTTACCAGCAGTATTTGTTTCCTCTGTTTTGAGTATATGGTGTATGGTGCCACTCATAGGCCAAAACTGAGAGGCTGTACGTGGCAGTAATGGAGTTGCATCTACTTGTATCGGCAGTGAATTCAGGGCTATGCCTCATTAGGCAGTCTTACACAAGCCACAGCTACACTTCTGGTAGTTATTTCTATTTTGCTTTAAGTCCTTTTTATAGTACCTCCCTTGACAACATTTGGTGTTGTAATGTTTAGTCTGGCTTTAAATCATATTGATCATTTCAAGATCTTAAACTTAATTGTAGGTTGGCAATTGCAACCACATTTAGTTCCTGACCAGCTCCTGTAGGTTTGAATATGCAATCAAATTAAAAACTCATCTCCTCTCCTGCTGTCTAGAGCCAGCAACTCAGTTTTGTGGTATTGCAGTGTCACGCAATATCACGGCCAAATACAGCCAGTTTTTACGAGAGTAAATGAAAGAATTGTTTTTGTTCTAGCAAGCTTTATTGCCTGTTTGATTTCTCATTTCTGCATTCTGCATTTATCAGGACACTTCTAAACTGCAGGCTAGTAGTACTGTGGCATTATTATAATCTTACAGTAAAGGAACGGTATTCAAACGATAATGCAGGTATCACATCTGTGACCATCCTTTCAATGGGTAAACTTACAAGCCTCTCTGTGTGGCTCAGATATGAATTGATTGTCCAGTTTATTATGTGTTACAAGTACGATGCTGTCATTCCTCTTTCGGAAACTTTACTTCTTTATTGTCTGATGTATTAGAACTCGCTGCTTGTTGCTTGTATTTTAGGGCTGCCTCTTGCAAAACCAAACCAAATGAAGCTTGAACTTCCACTTCTCTGTTTTGCTTCATAGCTAATATTTTTGGAGCATTATCTTGAAAATATGAATAAGGCTTGAATATTAATAAAGAACACTTCCTCTCTCCAACTGTTTTTGGATCATCTGCCTGAATGAAACTTTGGATATGTTAAAAAACTAAATCCAGGAGTTTTATTCAGCACAATATAGTATGAGATTCAGTGATTTAGGCAGTAATCTAGCAGATGCCACCAAACAATGGAACTAGGCTATACTATACCACTTTTAAAAAAATTTAGACAAGTATGAACTAAAAGTGGATTGATACTAATTTCCAAGTAATCTTTGGTAAGAAGCACTTGCTAAATACCGAAGTATTAAGAAATTCTTGTTTTGGAGACTATATCTACTTCTGTGGTACTGCACGCAAACTAATGTACAAAATTTATTACACACATTCTTTCATTGTTCAACTATTGATTTTAACAGATAATGTCTTGGAAAAAGAATTAGGAGACAGAGTGGAGCCAGATTATGGTAAGATATTTTGAAGCATTAAATTGAGTTGCAATGGTAAATATATAATTGTAAGAGTAACTTACAGGAACCCAAAAAATTGCATGAATTAGAAAAGCAGGCATAGATTAGCACTGGAATATATGAGGAATGAATCCTGTAGAGAGTATACAATAGCTGCAGATGTATGGATATAGTTCAGTGCTTGTAATTCTTGCTCCAGATGTAATCCCAATTTTGCAATAAAATTGCTTTAACATGTTTATATCCAATAATATAAATGAACATTGTTCATTTATGTGAACATGCAAATGTTCACTTTTCCAAATGTAATTATTATTTATTTAACAATATAACTGCCATATTTTGTACTTACTGTTGTTCTAAAATATCTAATGTCCTTTTCAGGTATCTTTCCAACAGTGCCAGCTGGAAATCCTTATGATGCAAACAAACCAGAAGATCAGTATCATGTTATTGCTACTGAAACAGGTAATGTATTCATATGAATTTAGTGTTCTGGTAAAACAGTTAAAAATTTCCATTATTGCCAATAGGAGGAAGCTACCTATTGCTCCAGGAAATGCCTTGAAAAGGAATACTCTTGAATAACATTTCCAGAGTTTTAATCGTGGTGTGTGGGTTTTTTTGTTTTTTTTTAATTTTAAAAAACAGAAACCAAATATTGACAATATAACTGCCATATTTTGTACTTACTGTTGTTCTAAAATATCTAATGTCCTTTTCAGGTATCTTTCCAACAGTGCCAGCTGGAAATCCTTATGATGCAAACAAACCAGAAGATCAGTATCATGTTATTGCTACTGAAACAGGTAATGTATTCATATGAATTTAGTGTTCTGGTAAAACAGTTAAAAATTTCCATTATTGCCAATAGGAGGAAGCTACCTATTGCTCCAGGAAATGCCTTGAAAAGGAATACTCTTGAATAACATTTCCAGAGTTTTAATCGTGGTGTGTGGGTTTTTTTGTTTTTGTTTTTTTTTGAATTATAGAAACCAAATATTGAACTTGGTGAATCTCTGCTAAGGCACAAGATTTCCCCAGTGATCACCCAGCTATGGGACATCATCTAGGTTGTGATAGCCAAAACCTTGTTCATTTCCCACCCACGCTCAAGTGTCTAACGAACATATGGTGCATATATGCTTTTACATTTGATAACTGGGACTCACAAAAAGGGCATACGTGAATTTTCCCTAACAGATAGGGCATGAAGTTCTGTTATCTGCCAAATAAGGACTGTGCCATAGCTCTGCCAGGTAGCCTGTGTTTTGAGGGAGGACAGTGTGCTGACATGAGCTAAATGCTTTGCTGAGGTTTCCAACAGCCATGAAGCTCGATATTTTGAAAGTGGGCAGCGACTGCCTAAGAACTTGCTGTCACACTCCAGTGTATTTAGCAACTTACGTTCTGCATGGAGGCCGGCAACTCTTGAGAAATGCAGCATGGCCTTAATTTGAAGAACTGAACATCTCTGAGGTGTTCCTCACATCACTCAGAATCTTATAATACCCCAGCACTGGATTATGGAAAGTTGTCATTCCCTTTCCACCCCTGTTGGCTAGATTTGAGCCAGTTTCCTAACTGATGTTCCCACTGTTGTTTGTGATTAGTATTTTGAAATCAGTGTTACCTGTTTCATGAACCATGCAAAGATTCGATATCTAACTTAATACTGCTGTACACAAACTCAACAAACAAGCAGGTGTTGTATCTAAATGTTCATATTTATGCTTGCTAGTGAAAATATGTTCAAAAAAAGGATGATGGGTAGGAAATAGTCTCTACAATAAGTACCTTAAATGCCTATTGCTATAAAACATGGACACATAGTTACTGAAAAACAATTGGATCCTCTCTGGAAACTAAACTCAGTCAGCTGTTCTATGCAGTGACTAAGAGTCCTGGCCTCATACCACTTTCCTCCTCCTTTTTCCCAGAGACCTGCAGGGGAGTAGCTTCAGTTTTCCCCCCTTTAGCCAGGGACAGTATAAATATGCGTGTAGAAAGGAATGAGAGGGGACGAGAGCAGGGCTTGCCCTGTTGTGGTCCTGCATGGGTGAGAATCCAATATCTAAGGACAACTGAGTAGACAGGTTATTTACACTGTAAAAATAATAGGCTGTGAAATGTACTTTGTTAAATACGTGACTTTGGAATCACAACGCTGGAAATTTTGCATTGATGCACAAAGAAAATATCAGAAGTTAGGTTTTTAAGGTCATATTTTACATAATACTGGGGAAGCATTATTTTGTTACTGATATTGCCAGATCTTTCTTCTTTTGGGATCTGTTCCTATAGAAGGAATGCAGAAGTGTTCTTTTATTTAAGCTAATGTATTTCTGATATTTTGCTCTAGATTCTTTTATTGACATGGTCAAGAATATTTCAACATGGGAGGCATTAATGAGAAACATTTGTCTTGTAGGTATAATTCCAAATCTAATATACGTTGTAATACCCACTATACCGCTACTGCTGTTGATATTGGTGGCTTTTGGGACGTGCTGTTTCCAGATGCTTCATAAAAGGTAAAATACTGATCTGAACTGGTTTTATAATGCAGGATTCATACTTCTATTGGCAAGCTATTCATACTGAAAGACTGCTTACATCTGTTGCCAAATATGCAAATGAATATCATTTCATCTCTTAAAATCCAAGCGGTTTACAGCTGTTACAGCTCAACATTCGCCTTCAGGCCTTTCCACAATGATCTAAAATAGTTCTAGGTCTCCAAGTATATATTGCCACTATGATTTTACCTACTTCTGAAAAGTGTATCTTTGACCATTTGATATGCTGAGCCACTGTCATCATTTTCACTTCACCTCTTTCAATGTGATTCCAACCTATACAGCATCTGGGCTTTGGGAAATAACTGGTGGGGGGGGGGTCGGGTCGGGTCGGGTCTCCAATGACAGAGGGAAAACTGGAGGGCTCACCTCATCTTCTAACCAAAAGAGCAGTTTATTCAAAGGATAAATGCGGGAGGCCAGTAGCTGGTTACTTCTGTTTCAGTGCACATCCTGTAAGAGTAAAGAAAGGGCCATTATAGCAGACACATTGAAAACAAAAAGCAAAAATGTGTTTTGAGCCACAGGCCTTGCAATTTCTGTTTACTTTTTATATCTTCTTTCATAGATTCAATGTCAAACAGTTGTGTTACTACACAAATGAGAAACCCTTTAGCCTATGAAAGGGTATGTGTTTCAATTCAAGCTTTAACCTTTTTTTTCCTTTGACATTTTACTTTTCTCAAAATACGCTATCAAGATGTGACATAAGTTTGCTTGTTTTTTTTTTCTTCCCCTGGGCTAATCTTTCTGAAACTTTTGAGAATATTTTTCATTCTGTGATTTTTTTTTTTTTTCCAGGAAGTGTTCTCATGTTAATGTAGCTCAGAAAAAAAATAATTGACTGAAACATGTTTATGGCTAAAAATTTTGGTAAAATAGCAAGAACAGTAATAATCTGAGAAGCTCTGTTATCCCTCTTGAAAGGGAAGGAATACTAATAAGGGTTCTCTGATATGAATATCTTAGGAAATTTAAAAAATTTTCATCTTCTTTTTAAGTCTTTATTTTCCATCTTTGTGGCTTTTCATCTTGAATTTTCTGCAAATATTTAAAACCTTACTGTAAGTGAGAAAACACTTCAAATGTCAGTCTGCTCATATCTGTATCATTATACACTGGTGTTCACAATGCTCCTTAGTAACATGTCCCACTGAGAGGAGTGAACATACAGAAAAGATATCCTGAGATCTGCATTGGAAAACAAATTGTATCCTAATTACATGCACTTTCTTATAAAGAAAAGAAAAATGTGCATTTTCAACCTCAGTTATGGCGGGCAAATTCATGCTTTGGAAAGTTTCTCCAGTCCCAGTGCTGAGGTTTGGATAAAAGGATGGAAACTCAGAGCAGAAACAGTAATAAAGGTATCCTATGTATAACAATAGTAATTATTTAAATCTAAATCTAGGACACATTACAGAGCTCCTGAATTTCTTGGTAAGTATAATGGCATACATGTTGATACCTCTTCTGGCAGCTTTTTCTCCCCAAAAAGAAGGATTATGAGGCTGAAGTAAGGATCAGTTCAGCTCTCAAATAGTCCTAGCAAGAAGATGAGATTCACAGCCCACTGAAATCAATAGCAACGGCAGTGTTGACTTCAGTGGGCTTAGATCAGGCCTTTGCTATAGCAATTGATCCAGAAATGATTCCTCTGAACTTCCAAGAATTTGAAACTGCATGACACAGATATTGGAAATCAGCTTGGAAAATTGTACTTTTTTCTGTTTGGCTGATTGATTTGGTAGGTGAACTGATACAAAAACAAGGGGAAATTTTGAACTAAAATAGTTTTTTTTATTTTCAGAGTGTTCATTTTTGGGTTGCACCAAAACTTCTGATTAAAGAAAATAAAATTTCTTTTTCTTTCAAATTTATTTAAGTCAAAAGAAAATATACTAATATCTCCAAAGTAAGTATTTTCTTTTATATCTGTCAAAACAAGAATTTTAATTCTTAAAAAAATGTTTCTCACTTTATTTTCATCTGTATTTACCCAATATTTTGCCAATCACTTTGGTTCATCACAAATACACAATTCCTGGGCAAAAAGCAAGTCTAAAGAAGAAGTAACCACTTTCACTGGTCAGCTGGACGCTGCAGAGCTTTAGAGAAGGAATTCTGTCCTGCTGGGGAAGGAGGGATCCCCAACTTTCCAAATGAACCTGACTTCTCATTCTTTTTTAGGCTTCCACAACACGGTGATCTTTCCTCTGAAAGCCACAATCCATGGCCAACCAGGACATGCCTAGCTTGAAAGGTCATGACTAATTTTGCCTGGCGTGGGCTCTTAAAGGGTAGTAGTAAGGCAAAGCAAAAACATCTTCCTCGTAGCTAGTAGAAATGATCAGCTCATTCATGCTTAGATGCTCTCCCTTTCATTTCTTCCAGGGAAGCAAGGAGAAACTGCTTCAAAGACCCATCTCCATTATCATCTGAATGCCTTGCAGAAAGTTTAAATTCCAACCTGGTATACTTCTCAGTTTCTATGATTACATTTCATAGTAAAAACAGTAATATCCTCAAGCTGTTTATGGCACCTTATTACCTTTCTAACTAAAACCTATTTCCTGAACCAGATGTATAGCTGGTGAAAATTAGCATAGGTTAGCTGAAGGTATGTTCATGTGGGGACAGCTAAAGTTCTGATCCAAGGTGTTTGGAAATTGTTCTTGCTCTGTGGCAAGGACCCTCCATTCAAGGCATTTCATTACAATTTTACAAAATATGCCTGGTTTTAGGTGTATTAATCTGGAAGGCACTAGTGAATCTTTCTTACAGAAAGAATACTGGAACTGTTTGATCCATTGCAATTGCTTTGTTTATAGCATTGTTGCCTGATCTAAAGTCCACTGAAATCAATGGGAGTCTTTTCAGCTACTTCAATGGGCTCAGGTACATAATGCATTACTTTGTAGGACTTCAGAGGTAAGTCTGGAGGGACTAAAAATTACTGTACCATCTGCTCCCTTAAATTACACTTTAAATCAGCTTAAATTCACTCACATTACTCACTTAAACTTACTGGCATCTGAATATATAGGACTGCTGGGTTCTTGACTCCCAGGCTTCCAATTTACAGAACTATGTAGTAGCACAAGGGTACTCCTCCTTTGGTTTTTACATAATTGGAAAAAATATCAAAGTGCAAAATATTCTGGCCAAGGTCTAAAACCTTTTGATTGAAATGCAACTGCAGTGGCTTATGAAGTGCCTGTTCTTTTCACTAGATTACAGTGCAGTGTCAGTGTCTGCCATCTAAGTGAGGGAAGGTGGTGCATTGTGGCAGTAGTACTAGACAAGATGCTAGCCATGGGGAAAGACTGGCTTTGACTTAAAGGGTACCTCAGGGCTTCTTATTCATATTAGAGACCGAACATTATACAATGTTGCAGAGCAAGTACTTTTGGGAACAGTTTTATCTTTTTAATTAACAAAAACCCTAACAGTTTTGAGTGAAAACTAGGCTTAAGGACGCTTTCTACTACAGTCATTCATCAGTAGGAGTCTGATTCATATCCCATTATTTCATTAGAAGTTAGGTCAAACGGTGAAGGGAAGAGATTTTCTGACTTAGGTGTACAGGGTAGCACCCGTTAGTGTATCGTGGTCACACAGGTGCAGCTGCAGGATGAGGGTGGGGAGGGATGCAGTAGTTCATTGGGCGGGTGGGCTCCAGCCCGGACGCACTGGACGCAGGATCTGGGGTGCGCGCGCTCCTGGCCCACCATTGTACTGGCCTGTGGTGAGGGAAGCATGTAGCCTCCCACCACCCAGGTCAAACAGCGTCAATATCCATCTCTGGAAAAGACTACTCAATATGTGTAGGTGTGGATGATTGTGAACTGAAAGCAATAAGTAGACTGAATAACTTCAGTTCATGGGAGAAGCTCTCCTAAACACTGTGGTCTAATAGCTTTGGTAACGGTTACTTGCCTTGACTGACCACTGTGGTGATATGCTTAGTGCAGCATGGGCATAACACTTTTGTAGAAGGGGTATTTATGCTATGTAAACAACAAAGATGGCCTTCAAGTAGGGATGAAATATCCAGATTTGATCACAAACCTGAATGAGGACCATGGAGGGACACACATGCTGAAAACGGTTTATATTTTTATTTTTCAGTAAAGGAAGAACAAAAACCAGTCCAAACCAGTCCACACTATGGATTTCAAAGACGCCTAGGAAGGATAGTAGCATGGAGGTATAATGATTTAATGACTGAAAAGACTGAGCCTGTGTTATAGTGTCATCTCAGCACATTAGCTTGGAATGGCTTGAAAATTGCAAAGGATCAACAAGATGAACTGTAAGCTCCCCCTTGAGGCAAATGTTCAAATCATTTTTTTGTCTATAATGTTTGATTATTAATTCAGTAACAAAATATGCCATGCTAAATATAGGATATATGTTTGCTAAGAGACATAAGTGAGCTAGTAGTGAGCGATGAAATGAACAGTACATTTGAAGGTTTTATGGGGAAATATCTACAATGTACGTCAGTTTTAAGATTGTTTGTAGTTCAGTACAACTTCTTTGTTTTCTTTAATCTCTCCTGCATTGTAACTTAGCTGATGTACTGTAAATTGAATTGACAATTTTACAGTGTAAGAAAATTATTTATCTTTGCATAAATGTTTGATACAAAACATTTGTTCAGGATTTATTTGCATACTTTTAAGACAGTTCTCGGTTCCCAGACTTTATCTTATCTTACATAAATTATGCGTACTGGTAGAGACAGCTGATTGAGCCGCTGTTCCAAAATTCAAGGATTCATAAGTCATTTGACACGATGAATTCCCTTTGCCAGTAAACGCCCATATCTTTAGACCATATCTGTTGGTCCAAAGACAACACGGATCATTTGGTCAGTGATACAACATTAATGAGGTATGTTTTGAATGTAACTTTTGTTAGTTGTTATTTAAATACAACATTGTGTACTCTATTCTAAAGGGGAAAAAAAGGTAAGTATCACAATGGCTGAGAATTTAAGATTAAAATTACTTGTTTAGGTAAATCTATGTAAAAGGAGGTTAAATATGGTTTCAATATAGCTAATAATAGTTCGTTAGGAATAATGTAACATTGGGTCAAAGGAGAGAAGACAAATGGCTTTTCTTGCACTAATATCCATCTCAACATTACTCAGACTAATAGCCAGAAAAGTATTAATTATATTAATTGATAAGCAGATTTATAACTATAATGCATTTAAAGTTGTCTTTTAGCAATTTTTACTCTCATTAATGTTCATTCTTTTTGGTTCCATAAAAGCTTTGCCACAGGAATGGTCTTACCAATTATTAGGATTAGATTATGGGGTGGTAGTAACAGCAATCAGTCTTATTTGCCAGTGACAGTCTGTTGCTGTAGCAGAATGGTTGAGGGTTTTTGCTGCATTTGCAGTATGAGTTCAAGTGCATGAGTTTAAGCTGAGTTGGACTTTGAGTTAACTTGGATGCAAAACCACTACTGGGTAGAAGTTGGGGAGAACCGAACTGAAGTGTTAGCGTTTTACCCTTGGGAATGCCTAAACTGCACTAGCTGATGTTGAACTCGGCTTTTGAAGTTCAGATTTGTGTACCGATCGCCCTAAGTAAAGAAAAAAATATTTAAAAGGAAGTTCAGTCCTACTAATACTAATTGTGCAGCACCATTGCTAAAACACTTTTAGAAGCATCTTAAGTTGCTGTTATGCTATGCATGTTTCTTCCTCTTTGAGAAGAAATATCCTTCTGTAATGCAGGTAAATATTGCCATTCATAATTATAACATTCTATAGTTTGTCCAGTTAGTCACAGTTTCTTTCTTTGCTCCATCCCAATTTCCCTTTCAGTGATTATAAATACAGAGAAAATACTATGATCCTACGTTATCACCGAGATAAAACTTGTTTATCCTTCTTGACCTGAGGATTGCTTCCCTCAACTGAGGGAAATTTGGGAAAGAGATTCATCTTTCTTGTGCTTTTAGGGTAAAAAAATTAATCTTTAAGACCCTAAAAAGAACTAACTTACCAAAGAAAATAGGGAAGCAGGGAGAATGAAGATTACATAACACTACAGAGCTCACTTCATTACACTTTCTGCTACAAATGGTCATGTAAAGACACAGCAGTATATCTTACAATTAGTGTAACAGAAGTGACAGAAGTTATTTCCAAGCAGCAATTAGGAGGATGCAAACACCTTTTTTCCCTTGCAAGTCTTATGGGTTGAAGGGGGGTGCTGGGCAGTTATCGGCATTAATCAGTCTTAAACTCTCTGAAGGAGGGACGGAAATTGTCCGTTGAAGGGGGTTGAAGGGGGGTGCTGGGCAGTTATCGGCATTAATCAGTCTTAAACTCTCTGAAGGAGGGACGGAAATTGTCAAGTAATGCTTGCATTGTAATGAACTCACAGATTCTATATGGAAGTAGGAAATGCAGATAATATGCAAATGTTTATTTCCAATAATCCTACCTGTTTAGGGGAAGGAAATACATTTCTATGAACTTTATCTGATGATGTTCGTAGGTTCCAGATAAAATCTAAAAAAAATCTTAGGAAGAATCCTATTTAAAAGAAAGCGGAGTGATACACAAATAACACTATTGTAAATTTATTACTTAACAATGTAGAAGGCCAGAACTTGATGAGGTTCTAGCCTGACTGGTGCATAGCCTCATGACTCTGACATTTTACATGGGTGATTCTTTTCCACGCAAAGAATACAAATCCTGTACATACATAAATTCTTCTTTCATCTTTATTTCCCTTATTTCCACTTATTAAGAGAGATAGGAGGTAAGAGAAAAAGGGAGAAAGATAGTCCTGTTTCACAGTTGAAAACAATACCTAGAAATTAGACCGTATGGTGGTCCTTCTTCTGCTGGATTTTGTTGGGGCTCAGAAAATCCAGAACAATAGGTGTGACATGGTTCCTTAGTCGTAATGGAATTACTGTTTAAAGAAATTAACTTTTTCGGTCCTTCATTCACATTAAAATTACCAGAGCAGAAAAGGAGAAATGCCAGAACAATTACAAGCAACACACTTCAGTCGGAGGTCCTTAGAAGAAGCTAGATTCTACATGCAGCTGTAGGGTCAGCTTGTGGTTACCATGTTCCCTTCTGCTCGCTGTCTCCCTAGATCTGTTGGCAAATGGCAGCATTGGTGAGACAAGGAATTGAAGGATAAAAGAAAGCCATAACTGGTACCCAGATGGATGGGATGACTTCAGTTTGGGGTTCCAGAAACAGACCCCTTCATTTTCCCTAAGAACATCCTTTCTTAATTTTTAATAATGGTCTTGGCCATTTGTCAGTAAGTGTCTCAAAGAGAAGGCCAACGATTTGCTCATTTCTTTCTTTAATCTTTTAACTTTTCTCCAGTGCAAGGAAGTATGGGTCAGCTTCAAGTTCCTATCCCCTATTTCAGAGCATCTCAGACTCTGTAAACTGACCAGTGACACAAATCCAAAATTATCCATGCTGCTGGCATGTTTTGACTTGATGATGACAGTATGGTGATTACTGGTTTCATCACAGACTAATGCAGGCAACTAAAATAATGGATGCTGAATGGAGAGTGCAATGTGCTCAACTAGGAGTTCACGTTGATTTTTATCTAGACATAAATTTATTGAAATAAACTGTTTAGTTTTACTATTCTACATTTCACATGCATTTCTGTACCTGAGATTTAAATAGGAATTTTTTCAGAGTAATGGTATGGTTTAATATATAGCTTAAAATAAATCTGTAGTTTGTGTTTTGGGAAGCAAAGAATGCACATCAAAAATAGAAGTATATTACTGCATTTCTGGAAAGCACATTTTATAGTAACTGAGGCCTAGTTTGAGTTGGCTGCTGTCTTTCATTAATATAAGAATTAGCTGAAGATACAGCTCCTAGGATAGTAAGACTGACAGTCCTAAGCAGTTAGAAAGCTTCTGAACAATTATTCTATCAGCAAAAGAATCCACAGCAAGAAACAAATCTTTTTAAGTAATTCTGCACTTCACATCTTCAGGATTTTAACTTAATTGTTTCATCCACATCATTTTATTCTTGATAGGTTGGAACACACTTTATTCTCAGTGGCTATTTTTCAATGAGGGAGAGGAATAGGAGGAATGGAATAGTCCGCTGCTAAAGACAGGATTTGCAAAATTTGTCATTTTACTCTGTTTTTTTTTTCCAGACAGTTTAGAAACAGTTAGCCTTAGATAATTAATTTGCAATGATAAAAAGACAATTTCCTTCTACATCTATTCAAGCTCACTGTGGACAACAGAAAGCATCTTTTGGTGTTGTAGGTAATGTTGTTGGAGAAGACATTCTTTGGCCTCTCATTCTGTCATAAATTGGTTAGCAGGTGTATTTGCTCCTCTGGAGAACTAAATATTTCTGCAAAATGGAAAAGCTGAAAAAGCAAAAGTCACTGCCCATATTGTGACAAATTGTAAATAGCCACCTCCTGATCTAGACAGATTATTATTGCCCAGATTTCCTGTTGTTTAAAAAAAAATAAAAAGGTGTGTGTGGGGGGAAGTAGCTATTATGCTTCATTAGGGAGAATGTGTAACCTCTGGGCCTTCTTCGGGAATCTAATTTGTGGCTGAAGTGACTGATGCTGTGTGATTTATATCAAACAGGAGTTTAAGACACCCTTTATCTTCTCTCTGATTTATTTATATTAATCTTTCTTCTTGTGGTCACAACTGTACTGATGGAACTGCATTTTTTTGGTCTGGACCTTTTCCCCTAAGTCTTATGAAGACCTGATGGCAGTTTGTGACTTCGGAATTGTTCCCAATAACACTAAACCTTGTAAAGACTGCTGATGTGGCACCTGCTCAAAAGGACCTTTTTGTTTCCTCATTTTTACCCTATTCCTATTTAATTCTAAGGTAAAACATGTTGGGAAAATAGTATTGGGGTAAGCCAACTCAGAAATTACTCTGGCATTACCAAAGTGTTTGTAGAGGGATTTAGGTAAGGCTTGTTGGTAGAGACATTTAGTTAAGGCAGGCTCATTAAAACATTCATCTGTGCTGCTGCCAACAGGACCACTCAGTTATTAAAAAATCTCTAAGTTAAGCCATAAATGTGTTGGAGCATATTTAATACTTCACTCTAATCATTTTTTGAGCGGTCACAAAGCTTGGCAATGCCTATTTTCTCCTTTCTTTATATAGTTCTCAAATACAACATTCTAAAACATTTTACTTGGTCATGCACTTCTGTAAAAAATGAAGACGACCAACAAAGGGATGCAGCAAGACTTCTTGAACAATTTTTGAAAAGTAGCTGGCAGGTGGAGGAGTCACTAATATGATGCTCTCTAGAATTGTGTTTTTAACCTAGCCTCATATTCTGAGCACTTCATATCTGCATTTAGTGTTGTAAGCACCAAGTGAAGGGCCTCCTTACAAAATTGTAAATACATATAATATATATATGTGTAGATAAACATTCGCAGTAAATTAAAGTGTGGTTTTGTATTTTGATACAAGGAATTAAAAAGGCATTAAATTCTTATACCAAACTATAGAGAAATAAGTGACATGTATCATTACATAACATTACACAGTTGAATATTAGCCGTTTCACCAAACAGAAACTTATATTTGAATAGAACCCACTTTGGAAAAGAGCTCAAGAAGATAAAACAATTTTTTTTTTTCTGATATCTTTTGCCATTGGGAGTGTTCTAATGGGCGACCACGCTATTTTATTCCGAACACAATTAATATTAAAAGACCCTAGTAAAGAAAACCAAAACCATATAATATATCAAAGGAATCCTACTACATATTTAGTCACCCATGAATGGCTGATACTTATTACTGTCAGATTTTTTTTTAATTACGTTTTATGAGAAACGTTGCAGTGTTGTAAGTCTGCACTTGCATGTATACAAGCATGTTTATAGTTACTTCAGTAATTCCCAAAATGTTTACTTAAAAAGACTTAAAGGCTACATCCAGTCCTTATTTAACTCCATTAATTATAAACAAATTACACCAGAGATAACTTTTGGAATACATTCAGTTTATTCAATATAAAGCAGCATGATACATGATCAATCTTTATACACAATCCATAAAGCTCATTGAAGAGCTTTTGGCTATAGACAAGATAGAAGAGCTCTCCCAGATTAAAGAAAGCATATACCTTCATTTTGATATGTGGTGATTCCTGAGCACAATTCACTACGCATTGAAATGAGAATGTAGATGGAGAAATGCAGCATTAAACTTAAAACTATTTAATATATTTGGTCTGAAATTAATAATTTAGACCATTTTTCAGTAAAGTATTTATAGCTTTTTTTTTAATTATTACTACCAACGCTTTGAAGCCCTCAACTATGCATTTTGTGTACTGGTGCTGAAAGTAAATAATGTTTCCCCACTTTGAGTAGATAGCAGAATCACATCTCTCATAAAGGAAAAAGTAAAATGTTAAAACTATTTATTAACAGAAGCACATCATTTGTTTTGAAATACTGCTCTCAATTGACAAGGAGGGCAGTTCTTAACTAATATTTTCTCTCCCAAAATTTAGACTGCATTTCGAGATTCAGTCTCTCTTAACTGTGAAGTTTTGACTGTCACTCTGTTTTACATGATTATATGCTGGCTGGCACTCAATCTTTAAATTCTGTTTGTATCCTTAAAAAATATCAAGCTAATGGATGATTTTTCTGATCCAGTCCACAAACCTGGTGACGCGAGCGTACACTCCTGGTCGTTGAGGAAGTGCACACTGATAGCCAAATGATGTAACACCTGCCAAAAACCACTTGTTACCATCTTCAGACATGAGAGGGCCACCTGAATCTCCCTGCAATATGCAATTCAAAGGTTAAAAGTGAACAATGTCAACTTTGAAACAAAGCTTGTTGTCTAAGATGTTTTGTTCTTGTTAACACTTCATCTTAATCACTGCATCCTGGTATGCCAGAAGTGAGATCAATATGGATTCTCTCATATGGAAAATTTTTAAAATGATCAATTCTCCCCCCCGCCCCGGCTGTTTTTTTTTTTTTTTTTTTTTTTTTGGAGGATTTGATTTTAAGCTCTTACCGACCTTTTAGTACGAGCCTGGCTTTCAAATGATTTCTTTCTGCGTGTTACTCTTAGCTTAGCCATCCATCTTTTGCAAAGCCTAGGTAAATGTGTAGCACTTCTTTTAGCTGAATTTATTTACCCAAAATATAGTTCTATTTTCTGTCACCCCAGAGTTTTTGCAATTTCAAATTCAGAGGAAAAAAGGAGGGCAAGACTGACAGAAGAGGAGGTATCCTCTTCTCCCACCTCCTTCTGAATAACTTAGCAATTACAAGACTCAGACCAAATTTGATACTTTGTGCATCCTGAGTGGCCTTGGATATCTTGTTTTCAGAAGAAAACAATGACTATTTTTCGTTGACTATTCAGGAGTGAATTAGTATAGCCAATAATATTTTTTTTTTCATTCAGCCCTATTAATAGAGCTTTGCACAGAAGAGTTCTGTGAGGACTCAGCCATTAAAATGCCTCTGCCCATGGCTCTAGGGCATCCACAAAAATTCAAAGATTGTGACAGTAGCCTAAAGGCTGAAGCACTATCAGGACTCACTTGTTCCTTTTTGCTCACAGGTGAATGGTCATTGATCACAACACTGGTCACTCGTACTCTGTATCAGCCTATGGTGCTACAATCTTTTTTTTCAGTTTGAAAGGCAAAAGGCAAAAAGCCAAGTCAGAGAAACTGAAGAAATGGTGAATGAAAGTAGCCTTGCATACACTCCTGCGTTTGGACTGTTCACTAAACTGCATTTGACAAAGGCTTAGGGTTGGGAGGTGGAGGGTGGAGGTAAAGCAAAAGCAATTACCTAAGAATGCTCCTCATCAGACTTTAGGAGAACGAGCCACTCTCTGTACCTTAGACCCTGCACTGCTGGAAGCAAAATTACGTGACAGCCAACAGTGACTTAGTCCTCCTGGAGACACAGTGCATTATTAGCAGAGCTAGAATGGACACAGACTAGCTCCCCAAGAAGCAGCCTATGAGAGCAACGCAGAAAGTCAGCCTTTCCAAAATACTGTGGTATCCACTCACAAACTGTGGCTTCCACTCACAAAAGGTTTTCAAAGTACACAAATTTTGGGACAAAGCATCATTGCCCTCTCTCTTTCCCAGCCTGAGGTATTTCTGAGACTTGGCTTGTTATTTAGTCCTCTGTATCCTGCTTTTCCATAAACATTCTTACTCAGAAGTAATTCTTCAAAGCTTAGTGCAGAAAATTTCCAGTACTCTCATTTGTATCCCTCCATGGTTGTTTATGTCAGGAAGATACAAAATAGATTTTTATCGGTACAACATGTATCCTGATAAAATATAAAATGAGCAAAACATTTTGAGTAGAAATTATATTCATAGTGACTTTCTCAGTTTTAATGATCAGAGGAACAGGGAGCAGTTATTCAGTAATTAGATGTGCTGTATGCTGGCAGTGAAAATGACTTGCCTATATTTACCTGACAGGAATCTACTCCTCCTTTGTCATAGCCTGCACACATCATACTCTCAGTAATATTATATTCTGGCATCTGTTGCTGGCATTTTTCATTTGTAATGAGAGGGACTTCTGCTTCTTGCAATATATTTGAAGTGGGACCTGATGAAAATAGAGTACATTTAACCACTGTAGTGAATATGTACAACATACACAGAATACCAATAATTTTGTTCTTATTCCAAAATTCCAGGGGTGTAATAGAACAGTGGGAAGCCCCGTCTCACACCTGTATTCTTCTGGTTTATACCACTGTAATACAATCACCGATTAAATGGTGCTCATTAACTGAATCCTGTCTTTCATTTCTGTAATGGGACTGAATCTGGTTATAATTAAATCAAGGCTAGTAAAATCAATGACTATGAACTTATTGTGGAGAGATCTAAGGGCTTAGGAACTTGGATTGTCCAGTATTTCATCATTATCCAACTTTTGGTAATTCAATTTTTCATAAAAATTTCTGTTATCAATTCCTGCCTGAAATTCTAAATGTAATTTTACTCTGAAAATGTGGAAGAAAATGCATTCAAGCAACTGTGGAACTTAAATGACATGTTTATTATCTAGCAGTGACTCCAAATCCCAAGTGTGCGATACACAAACAGAACATACATTTCACCAGATAGTCAGTATGCTTGACTTTTTTAGGACGTCATTTGCACACAGTCAGAAGCATTGATCTCCCACTTGCTCCCTCCACAACTGGAAATAAGATGTACACATTTCATATTGAGAAAAACAGTCATCGTAACAACTTAAAAGGGGGTGCAGTAACATTTTTTTGTAATTTAATAACCTTAACTATCCGTATTTTTTCTAGTAAATATGTTATAGCTCCAATACCTAGGTTTAAGGCAGAAAGGTGGTGGGGGATGGTTCCATAACTTCTGTATGGAGGAGGACATCCCTAACCTATTTGATCTTAGCAGCCCCTGTGGAATTAGGAGCAGGCTTTCCCTCATTGCTTCATGCCTGCCATAATTTGCTAAGCAGAGCACCCACCTTGGTTCACAATTCCACCCCAGCCAGCAATGAAGCAGTAAATTCCTGGTAAAAACACTTGACTTTTTTCTGGTAAGCAGATAGGTTGTATGTAATCTGTGAATGAGAAATAAGCAATTAATTTCAGCCTCTTTTCAATATTCAGGTTTTATGAAGTCATAAAGGAAAATGTTCATTGATTCCAACCCCTTTTTCAGGCAAAATATTCACAAAGTACTGGACTGACTCCAGAATGATTAGATTATAAAAAAGTACAGCCATCCCATTACCCTTGTGGGCTTAGAGCCAGAGTTTTGTACAATATAGTAAGTCTGTTATAGAGTGGAAAATCAAATCATCTACCTGTATATTGCACTTTGTTTTGAAGATGCATCATCGCAATATCATTGTCTTTTGTGCGCTTATTATAATGAGGATTTATAATTATTTGATCAATGTCTTGAAGTACTGTTGAAGGATATGTCGTATTCGATTGGTCATGCAAGCCAAGAACTGCTTTCCACTGAGATAGTTCTAAGTGTCTCCTAGAAGTTGCAAAGAATATTTACAATTATCAATGATTAATGAAAGTTTTGAAAAATGTTAGGCAAAATGTTAATCTTTAACCTCATGGTAATGTATAGCGTTTGCACGTTCTGTTGTAATAAACAGGAGAATGTAGTGGATATGCTTACAATTTTGAGATAGAATACTGTCTTAAACATTTACATCGTAGAAATATGTGGTTGGGTTTTGATGTTAAGGTTATAATGCATTATTTATGAAGAGTTAATCAGACAGTAGTGCAGTGGAGGAAAAAACATTAGCTACATTACTACGGCTTTTTAAACACGGGAAAGAATACTGCTGAATGCCTACCATGCAGTCAATAGAAGCCCCAGTTCGAAAATTATTAGGGACTATCTAAAGAGTAATCGATCTACAATGCAGTTGCAAATGCTGCGGCTCAGACTCCGAAAATTGGTTTCTTAATATTTTATCTAAATTGAAAAGGAGGTGTTAAGACAAATGATGACATAATCCACAATTGCTGAGCTGTGTATGCTGGTTTATTTATTTAGGCTATATTTAAGTTAGAGAACTAAGCCATTTCCCAACTTTTTAATGAGCAACTTCATTGTTTCAAAAATCTCTCTTCAGTCTGGTTGTTATACAGAATTGGTTTCTGCTGATCTTTTAGTTTGACTTGAAGAGGTTATTTGTTACAAATTAGGAGCATTTATATTTAATATTCAGAATTAAGGGGAGAAACTTCAAGCCCTCACTTAGGGAAAACTCCAGCAAAGTCAGGATAATAAAATAAAATTTAAGTGAAAATAGTACAGAAAAGGAAGTACCAAGGCAGTTGTGGATTTACTGTGTACAAACTAACAGGGCTTGATCCTGCTCATTTCTATGGCTTGATGTGGAATATAGTTCCTACCATGAAATAAGGGAGCATTGATGTACTGGCACAGGCTCCATTGCATTATATTACTTAGTTATTTATAATGAAAGCTGTACTGTAATTTTCAATATTAACATTTCTTTTTTGCCTTTCCAGTTTCTGGGTGTCTTCTACAATACTTGTTTTTATTATAGACATAATAGAAGTGCAACCTGGAAAATATTTAAACATGCATCATTTCTTTGAATGGTGAAGATAATACCACCTAGAGGATATTATGTATTGCCTAATCAATGGAAATAAATCAAGGTTCACTCCACTTATGCACAGTAAATCTTGATCAATCTTTCAAAGTGAAAAGGAGGAACAGGCAACACTGAATTTACCTTTATGAGGTATGAGGTCATCTTTTAATCACTGGCAGAGATTCAACTAAGTAATGGAGGCTCACATTAGTTACAGGTAATGTGCAAATGCTCAGTATTGATACCGTGTATTTAAAGTGTAATCTTTCATTAAAAGGGGTTATCCGCAAGTAAAAGAGCCTTTAGTTGAGCTCCACATGTGATTTGAAACACAGTAATTAAATAGTGAGCTAATGGTTAACTTCTTATATTTGTATCACAAATTACACATATTCTGTTGCCTTCTTAGCAAACTTGCACATAAAACAAAAGTTTCATCATCATTCTTAAAATAAAAAAGAAAAGACATGGCATGGAAGTCATATGACTGTCTATCTCAGCCAGTTGGCAAGACTCCCTGTGGTCAATGGAGAGAAATAGGCCACTTATGAAAGTATAATATTTTCATTCTAAAGTAAACATCTAAAAAAACCTCTAAAAAGCTCCCGTTTCCTCTGTGTTCACTTATAAGGATATTCACTACTTTGGTTGTTTTTCCCTTTTAGTTCCTTCTAGAATGGTGCTCTGAAAACTGTTGGTCATTTGTATTTACTGTAGTTATTGACTGGGTTGTGGACAATCTGGTCAAAAACATGTTTATAATGACTTTTTTGAACCATTAAGAAACTCGTTTTCAAACCTGAAAACAGTTTTTTTTTTTAATATTGGTTGAAAACTAGCATTGTTTTAACTTGAAAATCGTTAAATATGCCACTGTTTGACTTCTGCGGTTTGAAGTGCAAAAAAAGGTGCTTCAATCAGATAGAAAGGAATAGACATTGGTGAATGCATGTTCCCCAGTGACTTCAGTATGATCTTGTAAGTGTTTTGCCCTGTACGGAACTGACTGATGGCTCAGGGTCGTACTTCAGCCCGGCTTTACTGACAGCTATCCACCGTTTGGATACTTGCATTGTGTGGGAGTATCAGCATGTGTTAGCTTAAGGATGAAATGAACGTTACCCATATACACAGTGTGCTGCTGACACCAGCCATTCGTCACTGACAAGGGAAGCTCCACAAACAGGTATAAAATTATAAAGAAGGGAGACTATCCAAGGCCAAGCCCCTCTTTTGGCATCACTTCCACCTACAATCCTTGTTCCGCTGTTCTGAGTTACGAGGCGTTTTCCACAAGCTGAAGTACAATAAATAAATAAATAAAAATTAAGATCTGTAGATTCGTAAGGAGAGGTAATATCCTTTACCAGACTAATTAATATTCCTGGAAAAATGCTTTGTAATTCCTGACCTGCTAGTCACAAACACTACTATTGTGGAGAAAAGTTTGACATAGGTAAAATCTATAAACTGATAAATATATAACTTGGATTTAAATGTATTATTTCCTCAAACTTTCTGGATTTTGCCTATATGCTTTCAGTATAGCCCCATCTTTAGCATATATCTGAGCCTAGAAACAAGTGAAGACTGCAATTTTTCCTGTGTTTATATTATTATAAGTATAGTTGTTATAATTCATTCCCTAACCTTTCAATTCAAATAATCACGTTAAGCTTTATGGATTGAACAATTTGATTACTGCGTGAAACAATCTCAGCGTATATGTACTTACATTTCATGTTACATTGCAGGTGAATCACCAAATTGTTCAAACAATATTCTCTAGAATGAAAGCACAATTAAATCACAAGTATCTGTGCAGCAGGTAACACTGTATGTCTGTCAAATACATATATATTTTATTTATATGTAATATATGTAAATATATATATTTTATATATATAAAATTTAATCAATTTACTCTATCAGTATCAAAATGTTAAATATGGTATTTGGATTGCAGTCCTCCATGCCTGAATTATGTTTTAATTATAAATATATAGCATCATATTATATATAATTTTAAACATACTTGTTTTTATTTAATGGACACTTAAATGGCATATATTATGGAAATAAAAGTAGACTCCACTTTTGTTTTAGGGAAATGAGTCATCTGTGTACAGTAGATTCTCAGGAAAATTGTAACTGGATATGGTATTTTTTTCTACCTTTTGAGATGTTTTCAGTAACTTACCACTAGAGATCATTGTAACCAAAGCTTTTTTTAAAAAAGAGGTTAGTTTGGTATCAGTGTATCTTTTCACCAAGATTACAGTGCACTGCAAAATAAATAGCTGCATATAGAGGTTTGGGAATTATTTAGCAGAGATATGAAGTCAGAGTCAGTGGAGCAAGATATGACATATCAAAACTACTCAAGCATTTCTGATACCCAGAGGTTTTAAGATTATCTTCATACTTTGTAATGAATCTGAACACTTGGGACAGTGACCGTGCTAGCAGTTTAGATCTGATACATAGAGTAATATATCAGAGGAAGAAAAAAGTCTGCCAAGGAATAGTTTTTAGTTTGTGTTTCCATGTTATTTTTAAACAGAGAAAGAGAGAATGGTTACATAAATATAATTTAATATAGCATAAAGCATTCTTCACTGTTTTCACACTAGTATTTGATATCTGTTGTGACGGAAATAATGTGATGTGACCCAGTGTTTTTAAAACGTCATAGTGGTGCTAGAAGGAGGGCACGTGGGAACTGTGTCCCCTCCTGCCGCCCACTCCTCTCCCCCAGATTGAAAGTGGATTGTGTTCCGGGTAAGAGGGTAGGATATGCCTCCAGCTCTGCATGGCCTTACATAGCCAGCTTCCATTCCAAGAAAGAGGCATAATTTTAAGGCTGTAATTTACATAGTGGAAGCCAAATTCTGTAAGTTGCATTCAAATCTATACTGACTTCATAAATGTGCCCCATTGGCAGTGAGAGAGACATCAAGGAAGACAACCAGAAAAGCATAAAACCACGGGAAGCCAATACCATCTTCTGCATAAAATTCACAGTGGCTAAACACTCTTCACCAGGCTTTCTCCATTGGGTTGAAAAGAGTGGTCAGCGGTACATTATGTCAGCTCCTTTATCTGGTCCTGTGCTTTCTCTTATGCAGGTGTATCAACTAGCCAATCTAATATCCGACATGTCAGATTGGTCCTTATTCTTTTACTTTGAAGCAGGGAGTCACGTGTAATGACAATCTTTCTCCCACCATCAGCACCTACTGACTGCTTTAGTAGAAGTTACTTTGCGGGCTTATACTATTTCTTGTTTTTGGAGCTAGCTCTCAGTCTGAAAACCACCTCCTTGTCTGCACTTCTGTTCATCAGTCCTCAGCTGCCCCTTGGTCAGCTCAGGACAGTTCAAAAGGCAACACATGTACAGCACATGCTGGATATCAGTCCTCTGTGGCCTTCTGCGGGCCGTCTTCTGTCAAGAAGCTAGGCAGAAATCTGGAGTAGCTGGAACAGACTGGTAGAATGCAATTATGCCTGTGGAAGCAGCTCACATACATCTTCAATGCAGGATTTGGCCCAAGATGAAGCTATCCTGACGAGAAATACATTACCTAAGGCTGTCAGAGAAGAACAGTTATGCTGTCTCTGCACCACAACTTTCAAGTTACATTATCTGTGCTCTCATTTCCTGCACTGGTAGCTATGTTTGAATAAAGACCAAAGGCAATATGAGAAACACCTTGTATAGTTTGATTACCAGTTAATGATTTTTAGATAATTTACAAATCTGTGTGATCTTCCTCTCAATCAGTATAAGAACAACAAATGTGTGTGAAGCTGTAATGGTGTCACCCCGTAAAATTATTCCTCTCAACTGTCCAGATGAAAAATGGTACAAGAAACCTATTTCTGTAGCAGGGGTACAGTCCAGATGAATGAACTTCTTCCATTTCCTCTTGAATTAATTGGGTTTTTTTTAGTGTTTAACAGATGTTAAGAGAAAACATCTTTGAATCATAGCTTCTCTTTAAGATCTCTTGTGGCAATCCTTGTTTAGACATGCATTTAAGAAAAAAAGGAAAAATAGCTTGCAGTGCTATTCCCTTCCTCTAAGATCCTTTTATGACCAGTGAGAATGATAAATGTTTGAGATTAACCTAGTATAATTAGAACATAAAATGGATCAGTCTTTTTTTTACTGTAGATAAAATACAGCACAGCAATTTAAGAATCTTCTCTAGCATTGCTACTGTGTGATATTTTTCACAAAGGAAACTGGAAAGAAAATGGACTCTTGCCATCTTTAACATGGTTTTAGCATTTTAGCATTTATACAGTGATTTCCTGCATCAGTGCTTTTGGTAGAATTCCAGGAAAATGTTTATAATAAGCCATCCTATAAGCAGAAAGACAGTAATTTAAGTCATTATAGATTGATTTATTCAATGATGGCAAGCCTTTCTCCTTTTAGAGATATATTGTAAATTCCAGGATTTCTCCTGCGGAAATATTACATTTACAGGTAATCTACAAGAAACACTGCCAATTTGCACGGTCCTTCAGAATCACTTCAGGTGTTATTTGGTCTGAGAAAGATCAGGATATAATCTAATTCATTCTGAGGATCTTCTCATCTAATGATTCAATTCAAAGTGTGGAGACAAATCTAGAAGACTTATGCAAGTGGGATTCATTTGTCTAGATAGCCGCATATGGATTAGTTACCTTAGGTTTCTCTTATAGTAAGTGTGTATTAATAATGTTATTCATCTCATTCCAGCAAAGTTCAGATGAATCACAATTTGGATGTGCCTATTTTTTTCTATTGATTGTAGAGGGATCCTAGTGCGATAACTGCAATTTAACTATGGGCAAATGCCACTCCATCTTCATTTCATTCTTCTACTGATGCTGAAGTGTGCATGTGTGTGTGTGTGTGTGTGTGTGTGTGTATGTGTATGTATGTATATGTATGCATGTGTATATTTGGTTTATATATATGTAACAGTTTATATATATGTAACTAAATCTATTACATATACTTAAACTGAAATCAGTTTATTAAATTTATGTTAAAAGTTCATATATTTATATATAAATTTAATTAAAAATATGTTAACATAAACTAAACATATAAAACAAACATAACTAAAATGTTAACATGAATGAAATTATAAAGTAAGAAAGTTAAAATCAACAAAAAAGAAAAAAGTATTTTTTTTTCCACAGTAGGAGAAAGAGGCATGCCCCTTTTTTAATTTAGTGTTAATTTTTTTCTTAGCTTTCCTTGTTTTGGATTGATTCCAGCCCATTATTTTTGTAAAGTATTTACATAGAATCTGAGACATACTAGGGACAGAGGACTTTTTTCCCTCTCATTTCTCCATCTGCAAAGTGCACATAATTTAAAGATCTCTAGATAGAAATGCTTTGTAAAAATAACAGTATTTCTCTGTAAACAGTAAATTTGTGAAGACTTCACATAATATTGTACTAAATAGTAGCTAAAAACGTAGCCAGTACCTCTTTCAAATTTACAATAGACAACATGGGTAAGAACGGAAGGGAGAAGACTGAGTTGCCCAATGTTACACAAAATTCAGCAGTACAGAGAATAAAACCTAGATATGTCAACAGCTTAGACCTTGTATACGGAATGTTACCTCTCAAATGAACTTGAGCTGGAAATTATTATAAAAATGATCATCATCATGCTTAAAGTTATCCTCTGTATGAGGAAGAAACCTCACTCTACCTACCTTTGTGTAAATATTAGGCTCTGGTTAACTGCTTTGGTAATGTTGACAAATGGGCCGTCTCCAGTGAATAATATAGCTGATGATGTATTTGCATCCCTGGAAGGAAAAGACACACATGCATATTTTTAGAAATTTATCCTATTCCCCTGGTGGAAGCATATTTGGGAAATGATTGTGTTGTAGAATAAATTGCAGCATTTTTAAATTAAATAATGGCTATTTATGCCTAGAATTTTGAGGCTTGAAATTTTCATGGATTAAAACGTGTCACCTACTTTCACCCCTCCCCCCCCCGCTAAGATTTCTAATGCTAGAATAATATTGAAAGAGATAGAAATGTATTAATTTAAGGGCAGTAAACTGTCATTTTCTGCTTTTCTAGCCGTAACAAAGGGTTGCAATGCCAGTTTTAAATGTATGAAGCCAAAACTTTCTATGGAATAATGAACAGTAATAAGCTGAACCTTGGGATATCACAGATTTGGTTTTTTGAGACGGGCAATCTCATCGCTATTATACCTTTGTGCATAGAGAACAAATTAAAATATATTTTCCTTTAAGAAGAATTTGGAGGAACAAGTGCTACCTTCCTTAGAAGTATGTTCTGCCTCATAGATGTATTGAAATCAAAAGAATTATATGTGGAATAAGTCAGGGGTGTCCTGTTTGCTATTGAATAGGAGAGTTCATCTAAATTGGGGTGTACTCCAAGACTGCAGATTTTCCACAGTGGCCTCTTGAACACCAACAATTCTGTGTACTATTGGCTGGATAAGTTGTTTTGCCTTTTACAACCTATATCCAGCTTTAGTTTACAGCTCGTTTTGCATCACAAATATTTAAAGCAAACTGCATATGCTCATCTTAGACTATATACCCAAGAAAATATATATACTTTCCCTTGAGGAAGCCCAGAGAAAAAAGGCTGCTGAGGTCAGACTAGGTAATTGTTTTGGCCTGCTCCCACCTGACATTTTTGACACAAAAAACACAGGATCAAGAAGAGAACAATTTGTACAGGTGCAATATACGAGAAGCACCTATGTATCTAGGAAGTCTCATATCAGCTCTTCAAGTGCAGTAAATCTCTTTCTCGGGGGAAGTATGAAGTCTAGTACCTGCCTGAAAATCGATGCTTCTCTGTAAGGAGAGTAAGGCTACGTGCTAAGAGAAAGGAGGAGTTCAGCAGTCCTTCTGTGCCCCTAGGAAAGCCATATGCCACACCCTGCTGGAACAGGCACCGCTCCAGCGTTACTCAACCTGGAAATGGCAAAGTCCACTTGTTTCTGTCCCTAGATATATGTACAGTCTATTGTACGGCATATAAAATGCTAGTACATTAATACTAACTCCACTCCTCCTGGACCATGACTTGAGCTTCTAGACAGTCCAGAAGAGTAGCAAAGTTTCAAACCAAGTAGGTACATTTAAATTCTGCTCTGAAGAACTTTGCAGAGACCAGTCTAATCACCAAGCTACAACGGGTACAAACGTGTGTAACAGCCACTAAGTGGTTCTTGAGAAAGTGAGTGGAAGATTTTTTCACTGATGTAAAAAATGAACATGCTGCCAGAAGAAGCTAAGAGTAGGTACACTAATTAATATTATTGGCTTACATTTTCTCTGGCACATTTTACCATGATACTTCAACTGAATATGTTTGTGTTTTACTAGTTTATTGTAACAGGGCAAACACTATGAACCTTCTGCACTGAAGTCAAAGCTCCCAATCACTTCATAATACCTGTGAAGATCTCCCTTCTCACTGTAGTTTCTTGGACTTCTTTTTCTGCCAAGATTGAGCAAAATATTTCCCTTTCTTTTCCTTCTTTTTCATAAACACTGCAATTTCTGAATTAGAGTTTAGATTTTCTCTGAGCTTCTCTATAACCGCATAGTCTTTATTAAGTTTCCCTAACTTTTTGAAATAAAATGTAAAGCCCTTTTTCAAGAACACTTTTGATATTTTCAGTGGATTCGTTTGTTTTCTTAGTTTGACTTGCTGAAGCATGCACAAATGCTGATTTAGATTTCTAAAATCTCTGAGTGACTGTAAAATCAATCTGCTACACTTTTAATTAATATATTGGCAAATCATGAGGGTAAAGCATCTCTATAAGTACAAGAAATCATATGCCTTTCTTGGAGACAATCAGATTGTAAACAACAATATAGTTTGTTCTGTAGGTTCAGAAACTCAGTGCTACGCCCTTTTCATTTTCACTGATTCAGGGGGACATTCAACACGCATAGATCAGGTGTACCTACAATAAAAATGTTCTGATAAGATTGTCTGTGCTAGAACAGATCAACAGCCAAACTACATTTATTTTTAAAAAGGGGGAATGACAATGGCTTACTATGATGGCCTTTACCTGTAAGGATTAACACAATGGGCTAAGTCCTACAGCTATAACTTAGCTTTTCACTACAGGACTTCTGTCAATGAACGTGATTTTTAGAAGTTTCTCAGGTTGTGAAAGAAAATGCCTTTAAGAAGAGGCTAACCTAGGCATTAGGTACCCCTCATTCCATTCAACCTACCCACTAGCCAGAACTTGCAATAATCTTAGATATGTTTCTTACACACAGATCTACAGCGGTATTTGGGCAGTAAATTCTTCTGATGTCAGTGGACTTCAGGTACCTGAATACTTTATGGATCGCTATAATTTAGTCTAATTCTGGGTCAGATGTGCTCTGTAGCAGTTAGCACTACCAAATGTTATGAAGAATTAAGATAATGTCATACTATGCTGAAAAAGTGTTCAGAATAAGAATAGAAGTGCCAATTGTCTGATAACTGTAACTCTTTTTCCTGTTTGGGAAAAAAAACAAACAAACATACCTTTCTTACTTGAAGATGATGTATTCACACACTTTGTAATGCATTGGACAGTTTTCAGGCTATAGGATGTTTCCAGTTTGCATAATTCATATTTGAGATACAGGACAGTGTTTCTGCTCCTTCCACTGTTTTAGTTAGAGAGCAACAAATACTAAAGAATTGTAGCAAATTACCAACAGCAGCACTTTCTTTTGCATATAAATAGCTTTGTTCACATGGGGATTCATATGAAGACCAACTGTTCTCTAAATGCTTGTGTGCACACACATTTGTTTATATGAAAGTTTGTAATATTTATATGAAAATTTATATGTAAAATTTATATATAAGTTTATATGAAAATTTGTAATATACCTCTGCACACTTTCTGGATTTGAAACAAAGCTTCTCAAGCACTCGGTTTGTTTATTCAGCCAATCCTACTAGCAGTATCTAATCCCAAGTGAAGCTATGGACCTATAAATCCCTAAAAATCCACTGAGACTCTCCGGAGATTTTCAGATCAAGGGGAACATTACTACTTGGAGAAAACTGACATGACACTACATCTGTCACCAAGTTTATTAAAACTTCCCTAATTCTGGTCCTCCGTGCTGCAAACTTTCTGTACATGCTGAGAACCAGTTTCTGTGTTATATTCAGCATGCAACTCATACTGGCTCTATACCAGGGAAAGGTCACGCTATGTCTGTTTATTATTCAAATTTATCCACTGGAAAAAAAATTTCCTTGTACAGAAATTTGGGGGGACCATTTCCAGCTTCTTTAGGCAATATATTGTATTCTCAACACATTGGAGAGTCTGAGTCTGACGGTCAAAGAAAGGATTTTCTCCTGTGTCTCAAAGAGTTAGGCCTGTAGTTACTACTGACCATTTGTGGGGAGAATGAAAACCTAATTCCTTAGGCACTTCAAACAAGTAACCATACTCCAATTAACTCCTTTCCTTTTCAAGAATTTTGTGAGTTCATGAACCAGAATGCTGGGATAACACTAATGTCCTAAACTAGCAGTCCTTATCGGACTTTTGGGTGTGAGAAAACTGCAAGGTTTGACCCAGGAATGGGTCAGACCAGCTACGCAGAGCTGGCTCCAGCTCTAGAGAAATAAACATGTGTCAAGCTGGACCAGTAGAGTGGCAAAAAGCTCAATGGGGAGCTTAACATAGGATAACATATTTTTTTCAGTCTGACATTTTGGTGGTTTAAGGAAAAGTAATGCTAACAATACTCATGGAAGAAGCTAGTTTTAGCAGTGACATCAGAGAGACACAATTATACAGGCAGGCTGAGCAAAGCGTTCTCATTCTGGTTCCTGAATTGCACCCATCTCCGTACCTTCCACAAATTAAGAATATTTGTAAATGATTAATCTAAGCTATATTTTGGAGATGAACACATGCACATCCCTCTAGATGTGCTTCTTGTCTGGCACATATCACAAATGCAGCAGTCACATATTTGAAAAATAGAAGTAAAAGAATTTAGATGTGTGATTTATTAGAACGTGTGGAACATTACACTTTCTAGCCCAGCTACATGAATAATCGGGATAGCTACAGGACTCATCTTTTCTACCTTTTTCATAAATTAAGCAGTAAATGAGACTAGCAAATGTACAAGAAATTAACAGCAAAAGTAAATCAGCCTAGCTGAACCTTAATCTCTTTCTCTGATAATGCATGTTTCTAGGTAATTATTCAGTATAGCAGTATAAGCTATAGCCTACCCAAGACCTGTTATTACAAACATCCATTTAATAAAAAAAACATGCTGCTGTTTAGTAACAAGTATGCTGCTACAGGGGAATTCATAGAAGGTAGAAACAGAGTGATGCTTAATGGTGCTAAGCTTAAAACAACACTTCTCCTCGTTGTCTGCTGCAAAGCCACTTCTCCCCAGGAGGTGTGTAGAATAGTGATGTGGATATTAAAATTACATTGACAGACAATATAGGTGGTACTTCAGATTGCTACTTATTTAGGCAGACTTGAAATTCTGTGTGAATACATAAATATGAAACAGGTCAGCAGTGAGTGAAAATACTCTATTGTATCTGACTAATAGCTTGCATAAAAAGATATGGTGGTTTCTGTCTAGTTTTCCCTCTCTCTCTTTTTTTGTTTTTCATAAATGGCATATGATCTAGTAAAATTGTCTTTATAGAAAAGCAGGAGAATTTTTATGCTATTCTGTAGGATCTAAAACAGAAATTGCACCCGGGATAGGAGAATATGACACAATTTAAGTTTAAAAATACTTTGTCTTAGCAATAGGAAGATGTGATAAACTGAACAATGGAATCAGAAAGAACTAATACAGAAAACTTATCTTAACAGGAGATTTTTTAATGATTTTATTTGACTAGTTTATAGAGACAAACTCTGAAATGTATTGCCACAGAATGTTATGGACACCAAAGCATACATAAGTTAAAGTTAATAGAAAATATCATGGAAGACAAAGTTCACTGAGGCCTATGAAATATAAAAATGTAAATTAAACGATCAGACCAAGAAATGAGCAGTCTCCAGAAGCTGTAGAGGAAAGATGGGTGGGGGAAAGGGGAGAAAGAGGGAGAGGAAGAAGGCTACCAGCCAGTAAAGACGGGACATTTGAGTAGAGAGATCATTAGTCATACTTTTTATGCTCTTATATTCATCCATCAATGAGATAACTACATATGTAAATCATAATCAGGATTTGTGCATGCAGGTATCTGACATGTACATAAATACAACACCTATCTGAAGAGAAAAATAATTAAACACCACAAATTCTATCATCTAATGATTAAAAATAATTTTAAATAACATTTGGATATTTTTATAAGTCCTTTTACCTCTTTTTATTTCTATTATTAATTCATCAGAAAGGCATTTGCAAGCATCCTACTTTGGTAGGAGACCAACATAATAAATTGCAAACTAAGGCTTTCATTTGATTATTGCTTGGATGAATGATATCCTCTAAAAACCAAAGCACTGTAGGAGAACTATTTGTTATTCAGTGGATGGCAGTGAAGTTGCACACAGTGTAAGTGAGGCCAAGACCAGGGCCATAAATTTTACCATAGATGTTAAAAGACAACACTTCTTCATCCAACCCTGCCCCCTTCTTTCCCTGAAAATCTTACTGAATATTGATTGATGCCATTTTTTTTTTCCAAACACATGCTTTTCCTGATAGAATTGCCTTCCCCCTGCCATACCTTAAGAGAAGTTTAGTTTCTTATCTCAACAGATCACGTCTAATGCCAGGTATGAAATGTACTGGGAGCCCACCTGCAGAATGACCAAGTAGTTATCTAGAATTTACCTGAAACGAACTTTAATATGATAGCAGAGCAGCCAAGGCTGCTGTCTACTCCAGATTAAAATCTTAGGCATTGTGATACTTTTTATGTTGGCAGACCAAGCACTTCATTTTACCATGGAAAAGTATATATGTCCATTTTTGGGTGGTAATGACACTAATGAAATGATGAGGAAAACACAAACGCACAGACCCACGAGAGTTGCAAACAAGCTACAAAGACAAAGAATACACTCACCCTTGCCCTAGCAGGTGGCAAACGCTGTCTGAAATCTGCTCATTCCAATTATCTGCACATACCAGGTTCCACATCTTCCCAGTCCTGATCTGCACTATGCCTTGGGTGCTTAGAGAACTATTCAGCAATCTCACTGTAGACCAAAATGGATATACATATTTTAGGTAAGTGTTTTAAAAGAATAAAAACAAACAAACAAATACCATCCTCTCCAACTCCACAGAAATGTAATATAGACAGATTTATTAGAACCAGCAAAGAACAAAAGAAGTTAAGAAACTCAGTGTCTCAAGGATCTTGCAGTCTCCCTGAAAGGAAACGTTATTGTTATCGCCTCGCATATTTCTGCTACAGCTGAGCCTTACAGCCTGTATTTTGCAGGTGTCTCACAGATAGACACTCTTCAGTTGATTTAGTAAACCAGTACATTTCCCATCTACTCTAACCAAGGTTTTATCTTGGCAAGCATTATGCTATTTCTGTCTACTCTGTGAAGATTTAGCTACATGAAGCTCAGTAAAATAGATTGCAGATGAGGTAAAAACCAGAGCTGACTCAAAAATTGAATTTTTCAATTCCAATTGCTATGGGAACTTTCACTGTTTGTTTCATTGTCGCTTGAGCTAAAAAAAAGAAAAAAACCAAAAACCTGAAAAAACTTCTTCCAAAACAAAATATTCAGAACAAAAATGTGGAAATATTTCAATAGTTTATTACAAATTCTTTGAGTATTTTGTGAAAAATCTTGTGCTACTGGCATAGTGACTAAGGAAGTCTGGCCGGAAGGTCAACAGAAGGACAACAGAATCACCTCTATGACTTAAGAGTCACAGCTACATTTCAGGCAAATGAAGGCTATTGCTAGCATGAACAAGGGGTGGGGGAGAGAAACAATACGTTTTAATTTACTGGTGGCACAAATAAAAACTTGTGAAAAATATTAGCTGTCCAGAAAACCTTTTACCACCAAAATGTTTCCACAAAAAGTAAAGCTCACCCACTACAGTAAAAATTATTATATTTTTGGGAAAGACTCTTCAACAGGCAGCCAGCATGTATGTAAGAAGTGATGTACTGTCATTAAATAATGGTAAACCTCAGCTGTGAGGAACTCTGGAGTAGTCTTGAAAGATTTGAGAACTGCTTGCACTGAGATTTCTCTAATTTGCTTTTGATACTTTTCCTGTCTTCTACTTGAACTATAGTTCACTTTCCTTTCTTCTCATTAGATCCATGTTCTTCTCCAGATGCACTAGTGATTTGCTTTTAAGATGTTGGTAAGCCATGAGAGAAGCTTGAATCTTACCATGGAATCTTAACCACTGTTTAATTCAATTGTCATATATTACAGAATTTTGCAAAGGATGAGATATCTTAGACCTTTTCTTTGCAGTTCCTGGGAAGTTTCAGAAGTTGAGGTATTTGAAAACAGCAGTTTGCCTAGTTTAGATTGCCACATCTGATGAGAAATTGAAGTGGGTTTTAGAAAAATGAGTAGTAATTTTGGACACTGAAAAGACTCAGTGTGAAGGTATAAAATTAAGTTTTCATTTCATTTTGAGACATAGATTGATTCAGCAAATTTTTTGGTTTAATTTGGTTTTGGAAACAATTCTTCCAACCCTTTAGTGTGAAGTAATTTGTTATGAAGTAATAGACAATCCACAGCAAAAGAAATCTTCAGGAAAATATACTTGATTAATGTAGGTGTTGGTTACCGTATCTGTATCTTCTTTAATAATGGCCAAAAATCGTCTCCACGTCCTCTTTGCTTAAGAAGAAGCTGAACTGAATTTTTTTCTATGCATTTCTAAAGGCAGAATACATATACATACAGCTAAGTGCACTAATTGGAAGAATGAAACTGTGCCTTCAGATATACATATACATATATTCTCTGTGTGTGTATGTGCGTGTGCGTGCATAGAAGATATGAAATCAATGAAAACTGCTAGCACACATCCAAGGATGTACTGAATGTCCTCTTTAAAACAAAGGAACATGAAGTTGTATCCCACCTTAAAAGGCTGCTTTTAACTCTTCCATTAGCGCACTATACTGCATTGTCAGAATAACACTTTATCAGAAACAGCGGTTTAATTTCTCTGCTAGGATCAACATGATATTAACACTGGTTTTATATTGGAGTTATTTTTAGGGGGCATTATTTCTGTGTTACATGAAATAAAGCCATATACTGTACACTCAGATTTTGGAAAGAACCGTTTTACCAGATGGCTATGCAACAGCGGCTGTTGCTTTCTTTGTCATAGGAACTCACACATCAACTGTGAGCAGCAAATGATGCTTTTGCAGTTGTGCCATGCCTTTACTCTACATCAAAGCCTGCATATGAGAGAGTCCAAAAACGCTAGGGGGTTGTCAGGTGCTGCAGATTGGTTTCACAGGCCTGGGACCAGTTGGGAGTTTCCAGCAAAATGACTGTTACTCTCTACCATACACTGTAGCACTTATACTGCTGTGAAACTCAAATTACATACAGCAAAAAGTGGTAGAATTTGGGGATACGAAAGGGATACAGACAGAGAACATTAACGAGCTTTTATTTAATTTTGAGGCTTGGATGGGCAGCCATAGTTTTAAACACAGAGGAACTTCCTACCTTTCTCAGAGATCTACACTAGCTTTCATGCACTGTCTCAAAGGACTGACTTTGGTTTTTTGTCCTAGTCAAACTCAACCAGAGACTTCAGTCTAAATCAATATGACTTGCATGCAGCTGCAGTAGCTTACACGGGCTGAGGTTTCATGGCTATTTTCCTATGTAATTTCTACCAAACATGCATGCGTTCCTTTTCTTTGTGTGAAGGAAACCTTACCACATTCTGCTTCATCAGAGCCATCTTCACACTGAAGGAGGTTATCACAAAGATTATGCAGTGGTATACACTCCCCACTTCTACAGTGATACTCCTCAGGTTCACAAGCTCCTGAAAAAAAACAGAAAATGAAGATGAAATTGTAATTTTTTTCAAGGTTCATGCTCTGTGGAGATCTTCCAGTTCACCTGAAGGAAAAATTGAGTGGATAAGTACCCAGAACCTTTCCTTTCCTGTTATGATTTCCTTTCCTTTCCTTTCATTTCCTTTTCTTCTTTCTTCTTCCCTTCCCTTCCCTTTCCTTTCCTTTCCCTTTCTCTTTCCGTTACTTCCTTTTTCAAAATAAAGATTACTTTCACATAAATAGAGATTAATTAAGTAGAAAATATACAATATATCTTGCAGTTGTTCCTATAGTTAACACTGCTCAGTTGCTAGTACTCTTCTGTTAAGGGCAATAAACTTTGGAGGGGTAAGAGAAGTCAAATCATGATCAAATCCTATCCCCATTGAAATCAAAGGCAAGCATCCTATTAACCTTTGCCAATCTAGGACTTCTCAAATTTTTAAAAAGTAAGAAATGAATGCAAGTCCTAGATGTTTGGCACTTTCACAAAAGTTCAACAAATTGAAGTACCTCAAGTCAAACTTAAAAGGAGAGAGTCATTCAAATCCAAGAGCATCCTGTTGAAATCTGGGAAGAAACGTAGAAGAGACAAAAGTAGCGGAGAGCAATGAAGAGAGAGAGCATTCTCAAAAGTAAGGTTAATCTACTTCAGTATCAAATATATATGAAAGTAGATCACACATAGAATAAATATATTGCTATAATTCTTTCTCTAGCCAAAATGTATTTTTAATGGCACCATTTAACATAATTTACATGAAATATACAGTAATAAAGATAAATTCTATTGAAAAAACATTGCATTTTCTTTTCTTTGCCTTCCTGGACATACTGAACGAACATTTTACTGTCTAGAACTCTCATGTAAGGCAAGACTATTGCTTTGCCTCTGGATTGTTAATATCCAGATTAAATGATACATTCATTCATAAGGCACTGTTGTACAATATGGATGCAAAAGGATAGGATTTCCCAAAGGCCTGAACTAGATTTTCATATATTCAGTGTCCACAGCTGATGTCAGATTTTCTGTTCCCACTTTGATAGCTAGATGAAGATAAGATTTCTGAATATGCTCTTTTACTATATCTCATACTATTAAAAATTATTCATTGTCAAATTATGATTCCTAATCAAAATCTCAACATTTCATGGAAAAATAAAATATGGAGAAAAATTGTTCTTGTAAAATTCACTTATTTACTGATAATCCTTTTAACCTTGGGCCTGCATGCTACTGATATTAGCCTGTGTCCTCTGGCTACGAAGATCCTGAATAAGCATAATTCTTCTGTAAACTGAACCTTTTAAAATATATCTAACTAGAACTGACAACTGTTTCTTTAAGAACTCTGACTTACTAAGGTTAATTTTCATTTTACAGTAAATGTGGACAAAGATGCTGAAGCAGCTAAAAAAAGGCATACTGTTGCTAAACTGAACAGATGTGATAGAGAAAGCAGAACAAGAAGTAAAGAAAGAGGCATATTAACCTACCTCTCAGTCTTACACAAGGGGACTAAATTAAGTTGATTTTATGACAGTAAATCAATGGTCAAGTTTTTTCAGACATTAAGAAATTAATATTATATTAATATATAAAAGAGCTACAACTAGCTAATCATGCCAGGAAAAAAGTGCTATTTCTGATAGTTAAAGAAAGAAAAAGAGTGTATATTCTTGTTAACTTTCTGTTCATGTAGGTGAAAGCTACTTTACGTTATCTGTGAGTATATACTACTTTTTCTTCTTTCTGCTGTCAGATTTCTGCCAAAGTAAAACAAAGCCTTTAATTAATTTCAGCAAGAAAAGGAGTTAGTGAGAAGATTTCTCCCGGTTATCATATTGCTGTTGCACATCTTTAGAACTTGGCTCTGTTCTGCATGTTTTTGGAGATCCAGTTGCAGAATTACCTGGACAAGTGAAGGGTCTGATTGCAGGCCCTCATTACAATCACAAGCAGAATTCTTTCAGCAGGGAAATGGCTGGGAGTAGAAACAATGCTGCCCAAATATTTTAAACTGCAGCTTTTCCCAGACCCGCCACACAGGAAAGACCAAATTTTTAAAGATGAAATCACATACATTAATCAGTTATCATATCCATTATTCTATTCTAGTATATGTGATCTATAATAAGTGTTATAAATATTATCCAAAAACACATTAATGACACTCTCAAATGAATCACAAGGAGATGTTCTTTTGAGGGTCTGGTATAGAGAACAGTCCATATTTGCCCTCTTATCATTAGATGCTTTATAGGTCAAAATATGGAGTCAGTGATATTACACAAAGTTGCAGATAGTACAACCCTTTGTTCTATTGCAGTAAAGTAAAAAAAAAGTCACTTTTCACTCCAGAAAAAGTGAAAAGCAGATGAGTATACTGCTAGACTATGTCTTTAATTTTTTCATATTTCTGTTGTTCAAGGAGCTTCTGCTCTCCACCTTGTATCAAATGTATTTGACATTTGCTATAACCTCTTAAATATAAGAGAACATATGCTTACCTAGATGATAGCCAGAAGTAAAATTTGCACGAAAACCCTTCTTAGTTGAAGACTGGTCCGTGAAGAACAGTACTGTCATCTGGTTTGTTGTAGAGAAGACGTCTGGCAATGGGTTTTGTCCTGTATAGACAGCTATTCCCCAGGAAAACACCAATACATTTTTTAGTTATTTAGTTCTTATATATTTCAAAATGTTTTGTGATCAGAAGGGAACCTAAATGCTATGAGAAAGCAAGGACCAAAGTTCAGCTGCAGATTTGACACCTCCTCAGTACAGACAAAAAAAAAGGATTGACTAAGTGATGATTACGCTTGTGTTTGTCTACGTACATTAGCAGTCTTATTCATTGAGTAGTTAATTTCTTTTGGACTGTATGGAAAGCTGAGCATGAGGAAACACTGGGTAAAATTTATTGTATGTGGCATCATTTTCCCAAGTTTTCTTTCTAATTTCCAAGACCCATAAAGATGAAGAAATTTAGAATAAAATTAGAGAGAAATAATTAATTAATTAGAGAGAATTAATTTCCTATTAGATCCATTAGTTTGCTTAAGCTGTCTGATTCGTCTTAGCATTCAGTGTTGTTACTTGCCCAAAAGCAAGGAATCTGCTCCTCTGCCATCTCTGACTTCAACTACATCATAAATATTTTCCAGGTCAAAAAACTGAAAATGAAGTTGAATGTTTTTCCCCATCTCAGCATTTAAATACCATATACCTAGAAAATAACAACACATACACACACAAAAACCACTTTCCAGTTGTTAAATTTACTGTGTCATTTTCATGTTGAAGGATTTTGTGAAAAAATCTCTGCTGAAATGTTCAAAATCACCCAAGAGGCCTAGAAGTCTAAATCTTATCTTTACAAGTGACTTATGCTGTCAAGATCCCAAATTCCATTGACATTGGTTCACTAAACAACTTTTGAAAACTGGATTTAGGCTCCTAAGTCATACATGCATGCATTTATTACCATTCCTCACAACTGTGAATTTCCATAAATTAACAAAACTACTTCTTTTCTGACTTGGGAAAGCAGATTTATAACCTCTACTGTTATCCAACTAAACTTTTGCTGGACATTTAGAGATGAGTGACTTACAAGAAGCTTGATTAGGGTAATTATTTGGAAAGTTTTCAGAGCTGAATGTACTGTTTGGCTCCCAGAGTTCAACTGGCCCTCCACAGTCAGCTGAAAAAGTAAACATATCAAAAATAAAATTCATCTACTGCCTTGCTTTCGTAATCAGTTATCTACAAAGCTCATGTTTCAGACAATAATAAAGAGAATACAGATGATATTCTTAACAGTTATTAAATGATATTTCCTTCAGCTGTATATATTTGGGAAAAAGTAATCTTATGAACAGGATATTCAACTTAAAATTATCACTACAAGGGTTCAGTTACGATGCCATTTAGGTATTGCTTGAGTTACAATGCCATTTAGGTATTGCTTGAACTTTAAGTTGAAAGTAGTTACTACTCCCGTGAAGTCACAGAGCAGTGGAGAAACAAGAACTCAACTGTCCTTGTTAGGTAGAGCGTCTAAGTCAGATCTGCTGACCCATACAATCAATGCCATGGTGTTATCTACAGTTATAGTTAGATATTGGTATTTGCGAAGTTCTGGTGCCTCTGAGCACAACTGCATTCATGATGGCGTTATGAGAAGCCTTCCCCATGTAGTTAGTTAAAGGGCACAGTCTGTCCCTCATTTGGTAACTATTGGTCTGCAAGCTGTGCGCAGGAGAGAAAACGTAAAGAAAAGAGTGTGTTGCTGTTAACTGTACCATTTACTAGTACATTAACATAAAAATCAGAAAAATGTCAAGTTAAGACAGGAAAGCTCCTTTCCCCCAAATATAATCTCTTTATGAACAAAGCATGTACGCCTTTCCTATTATCTAATTGTTCTTCTTGCAGCGTTATCAGAAACACCCTTAAGTAGAAAGTCCTTTTCCTCATCTAGCAGAAAAACTCTGGACCAACACCATGTGGAGCTATAATGGTAACCACTAGAGTACCTGAACGTTTATTGGTAGCCAAATTTTAGCTGAAAATTATCTTTAAAATTTCTAAAAATAACTGCTCAGGTGGAACCCTCATACTATCACATTTAAGCTTTGATAAGAAACAAACAGCAGTATCTTTTTTGATTTCCTAAACCTTGCCAACATTTTATTACTTAATTATTGTTATTACTGCAACTAATGTTGCTTACCTTATCAATTAAACATGAAGCTTTCAAATTAAACTTTTATCTAAGGAGGTTCAAAACCCATTATGGTTCAAAAGCCAGTATAGTTCAAAACAAGTATGTCTATTAGCGTATCTACTATTCTGGTAGATATTAGCATATCTGCTATATTGGTGGAAAGGTGAGGATCCTTAGTCACCTTTTGTGAAAACGCTTTGAACTTTTCTACAGAAAAGTGGAATATAAGCTTCCAGAATATCTTTAGAATACAAAATCATGCGACCGAATTGTAAGTTTTGTATTGGTTTGTTTTGAAAAGAGGGTACACTGAGGGTACTCTGCAGAGATCTGCACAGGTATTCAGGCTTTTCGAAATATATTCTAATGTAGTATGTGAAGGTGAGATGAAGACCCTGGGAAAATACAGTTACAAGAATGTATGCCAATGTTATGTGACAATAGTGAGCCAGGCAATGCTAACTAGCACTCTTACTATTTATATACTAAATGGGAGAGTTATGAAAGGGCCAGTGCTTTTAAATATTTAAAACTTTTTTGATTCATTTCCAGTATAATTTTATATTGAACAGCTGGATGATATCTTCTATGCATGGCCTACTAGTAGTGATCTAGATACAAATGACTGTAAAAAATTGGTAGAATCACTTACAATATCTGCCTCTATAATAACTATGATGATGCCTTTTACCCTAATGATGGTACAGTCAGGTACAAAATCTTGTATGTGTTCTGAAATAGAGCATCAAAGACTGACCAAAATAGGATTCATAATATTCCTGTTATGCCATGTTTTTAGGTAAATGGATCACAACCACAGTACCAGCATATAGTGTATATTTAAGTATTTTAAACACTTACACTGTTATTTTGACTTCATCAGAACCCTAAAAGCTCTTTCAGTTAAACATTTTAAATGGTAAAAGTAGCCATTTGCCTTTTCCTCAAAACATTGCTCCAATAAAACATTATTTATGATAAATATGTATATGTAATTATATATAAACACTAATGAAGTGTAAAGTTATAGTTACATATATTAGATTTTTACTTTAAATTGGTGGTTCTATTTCTTGTAAAGAATTTACCTACACATCATAAAATACTTAGTTCTAACAGCATGAATAGAATGTACCTGATTTCACTCCAGTATTAGAAAAGATTTCCACTGAAATATTCCACTTATGATAACATTGTAAAGCAACCATAGGATTACTGTTACCTGCAGTTTGTGACAACTAATGAACTTACCTATCTTTCCTCTTACATTTTTAGATTAGGATTTTGGAAAAATAACATATAATGCACTTTCTGTTTGTGCTGAATGTCAACAGAGGAACAATGCACCAGGTCAAATTCTGCCATTAATTATAGTCCCTACAAATCTTTGAGAGATAATAGGTTTTAACTTAAACTCCAAGTATCACTTTCTATTTTATGAGCCATTTAAAAGGGCTATTAGAGATACCTGGGAGTTATCCTCCATTTTTGATTCATATCCTCAAAAGGTCTGAGAAGCATAGCTTCAGATCCATATCTTTAAGTAATCTGATCTCATCTTTTTGCACAACTGAGCTCAAAATCACAATCATTTGTAGAGATGTTGGAGTTACAGGAGGGATAATGGCGCAATGAGACAGGAATTATTTTGCATTTCAATCAAAATTCCAGATTCTTTTTATTCATTTTTTAAATTTAAGGTATTATGGGATAGCTACTATATAAGTATGTATTCATGACAACCATTCATGGAATATTCTGAGGGACTAAGGTTAGGTATGTTTAGATTGAAATTGATAGATTTCTGGTTTTAGGAGTTTTTCCTGCCTGATATTTAAAAGTAAATATTATAGATATGTATATGCACACATGCACACACACATACAACTGACCGTATGTTATATATTCAACATTCTCCTTAAATATGTAGTAATGCAAGAAGGTTTATATCTGAAATATATCAGTTCCTTGTCTCAAAAGTTTACTTCATATTGAAGAATGTCAGCTTTACCATCACAGAGAAGTTTCGTGTTTTCTCAATTCAGTTGTTTGTAATTGCTTCGTTCAAAAATAAACAATGCTCTTCCATCCCTCCAGGAAGCAGAACTTAAGATGAAAGAAACCTGCCCCTGTTTTTATGGATTTTTTTTAAATGAAAAATGATTTTGTCAACTTTCAGACTTTGGCTAAACATTATCTCCTGTTATGGCTTAAATTTTGCTTTTAGATAGGTCTGCCAGTTGCATATTAAGAACCACTTGCTTTGGGCCTGTATAATGCACAGATCCTTCTGGGGCTGTCCACTGGATCCCACTGTCAGCAAGCTCCACTAAATACAGGGAAGATTTGAACTTCTCGTGACAGCCATCTTATAGAGCTTACTATTTGACAAGATCAGTCCTGGCAAGAAACATTGATCTCTCTGAAATGAAAAGGAACTGTAATACTGACACACTTTGACTAACCAGTATATTATGTTTCAACTGTATGTCTCAAAATGACAACTACTTTCTGTAAATACCATTAACAACAAATGAAGATATTTTTGGCATTTATTCCGGAATATTATTGCATGTATAAACACATAACAACTATTCTAAAGCTGCATAATGAATATATGATTCTGAGTCAGTATCTTTTGTTTACAGGAGAAGAGCAAAAATAACTTTCTTAAGAATAGCAGCAGTCAGGCAATTTATAGTGAAATCTGATCTGGTGTTGACTACATATAAGGCGCATTAGTAATGATTCTTTTTTTCTTTCTCTTGCATGGAAAAACATTGGAAGAAATTGATTTTATTCATGTCTGGATGAAAAAAAATTAAATTGCTAGCGATTTTTAAAAACAAAGTTTTATGAAGTTATTCTGGATTGTATGCCTGATGCTCGTTAGAGGACCAGCGCCAATAAGCTTGTCCCTTTCATTGAGCATAACAGGGGATTTTCTTAGCACTGTAGATGATGACCCTATTTACCTTATATGGGCAAAATGATACATGCTGTATTCATAGAAAAACTCCTCTGTGCTTTGTCCAAAATCTTAATTCATAGACATATATATCTTAAGGGTGCAACTTACATTGTAATTCCACACTGTTTTGTGTCAAAAGGCAGCTTCTAAATGAGTATGAAGATAAAAGCAATACTTCTTTTAGATGAAAGTGTAGGCTGACAGTCGTGTGCAAAAGTCAAATTAAAACTAACTCCACATCCCCACCCTCCTGCAGAAAAAACTCTGATTTTTCAATCAGCTTTGGAGGCACTGTGAGTGATGCCAGTGCCTCTTAGGGAAGCTCTAAGCCTAGCAAAGGAAATTGGCTCAGCTCACATTCTTTCATCTCTTGTTTATAATCGTGACATTTGTAGTGAAACCATTAGCATTAGTAAAGTGGTACTGGATGCATCAAAGCGACGCCATACATCTTCGAAGATGATTGATAACATTCACATTCTTCAGCAGATTACAGACATCATATACTTAGCATGCCTCAACAATACGAAATACAAACAAGTCAGTTTTTCCCTAGCGACAGCTTAGACTACGCTTTTGTACCATACTGAAGGCCAGAACAGTCATCTCTAATCTCTTTCACATGGAGTGATATATCACATGACTGCTTCCTTTTTTTGAATGTTCAGACTTTATTACCACACTGTGAGCAGAGATCTATAGTTTGAATGACATTTCTTTAGAGTTTTTACTGCAACACACAGCCACCACTTAGCACAGAGACCTTCTACTTCTACTCAGCTGAGTGATGTTAACTTGTGAGGTAGGTTTGCCCACAGTATCTGAAAGAGTCCTATTGGTGGCAAGCGTCAGCACCTCACCACAATTTTACATTCATGAAAACTGCAATAAAATTTTAAAGCTCATTTTGGTAAATTATCATTGAAATTAATTTAAGTGTTTATTGAAATCAGTTCTGATGAAAGAGACATTTTGTTGGAGCTCATGATAGAACTCTAAAATTGAGTTTTGCTCTTACATTTAGAAAGTTTCGTTTTCTTCCCTGTCCTAATGCATTAGATTTAGATGTGATGTTAAAATGACAGTATTAGCACACAGTGCTTCAACATGAATACATTGCAAATAGTATTTCCCTATTATTCTAATATTAGACCATTGTTATTTACTATATGCTGTCAAGAGAGCAGCTAGCTGTGCTTTGTAAATGACAATAAATCTAATAGGAGGCACTGCTAGAACATACTCAGTGTTTTAATGATTTCAAACCATTGTGTAAAGGTCTTTTATAGAACTCTTTGCCAAAAAGTTATTCCCAAACCCTATGAAATATTTTAATGATTTTTCCACAAGCTCTATACGTATTTGTACCAGCTGTTCTTTTTTTTTTCTTTATTCAATGTAGGTGGCTCTGGTTAACATCAGATGTAATCATTCTTCACTGTTTTATAGATATGTTCCAGATGTATAATCATGGCTGCATGTATTTTTTCATAGTTTTTCTAAACAAGAAAACTCATTCTGTGAAATACGAATGTTTTGAGGAAGTTTAAATCTCTGTGGCTTCCTTGAAAAGACTCTGGAATGTGATGTGTTGGAGTAAGCCATGCATATGTTAGGGAAAAAATACGTGCACTATAGGTGGAAACAGAATTCCTCATATTTAATTAGCCTTTATTTGACTCAGAGAAGATAATAAAAATGCACAAACAAAAAAAACCCCTTCCTCCATTTCCTACTGGACATAGGGTTCAGAAGGGATGCTGAGGAGATACTCAAATACTGTGAGGCTCCACCAAGAACCCATCTATTATTACTAGAGTGAACAGCTACTCATCACTCATGCCTTACCACAGGGAGAAGAGTTAACAAAAGCAAAACTGTAGAAAGTAGGTTTTGGTCTTGAAACATTTCATAATCTATGTAAAAATTAAAAACTGTCACTAGCAGAAAGATTCCTTTGATTGTTCCTTTCCCTCCATTCATTTCCTCCCAAATCACATGAGCTGCTAACTCTCTTCCTTTCTGTTTTCCTAATCAGATTTTTTTGGCGGGGGGAGATAGCAATTTTTTTGTTTTGTGGTTTTTTTTTGTGTAACCAAATATTGTAGGAACGACAATATGGCCCAATACATATTCGAAAGAGCCTTGCTCCAGAGAATACCTCCATTTTGGTAATTAGACACTCACATAGACTGTGCTCCATTCTTAAACTACTCTGACACTTTATAGATTTGTTCCCATAAACATAGGATTTTTGGTTCTGTTGAAGCCCACACATGTGCATGCATTCTCAGAGCTTGGAAAAGTTTTACGATTGATATCTGCAGTTATGTTATTATGTGACGTTGCTCATCCACTTATTCCCCTGCTATATTGCTTACAATTTCAAAAACAAAGGTAGTAATCCTCTTTCTCTTTTTTCTTCCCTCCCCTTCATTGGCTTTCTGGAGGCTTCTCCAACTAAAGATTTTTGAGATAAATTCTGAATTCTTCAGTTATCCTTAATTCTTCAAGTCTGAGAAGCTAACGTACTGACAACTTAAGCTGTGAATTCCATTGCTATCAGTTGAACCATGGAAAAGGATCTCTAACGCATTAGCTTGAAAGGAATTTCGTAATGTTGAAGAGAGAATTTTATAAAGATGAGGAGAGTTTTTGCAAATTTAGAGTTACTCAAACACAAATACACTAATAGGAAATGGCAATCAATTGTAATGTAATGTTTACTTACTGGGAAGTGAAGGCACAGTAGGAGAAGTTGGAATCACGGTTGGCTCTAGATAAATGCTTTCATTACACTTTCCCTTTGTGAGGCCAATATCATCCAAGGCAATATCACTTTGACCAGGCCTTGTAAAAGCATCAAAAATAATCTGAGGTTCATGAAAAAGAATTAGAATTTTAAAACTTAATGAAATGTTTTTCATCTTCATAAATTACTAACAAAACTTAAAACTATGCAATAACTTTATTTTTATATATAAATGTATACCATTTTTAACATACAATATTCTATATCACTATCATCTCATCAGTCCAAACCCTCTTCTGGGTTAATGAGATAGTGTCATGAATAACTGCAATTAATCTGATTTACCTATAGTTTGTTTTTGTGCTTTAACATCCACATATTTAAATTAATCCCATTACCAGGGAATTTGTGATGGCAAAACACACAGTTAAATATAATATTATTCCTGAGATCATATAACATACATTTCCTAGAAATCAGACATAACCAGATCACAGATGCAAATGCTTCCTCAGATGATAAATGCCTCTTTCTGGCAGTGCTTTTGCATCAATAAAAAACACTATAATGGACAAGCCATCCTAAATACCTATAAAATGAATTTGTTTTCAGTACAAAATTGCTGAAAGAATGGTCTTATGTAAGTCTCCTGGAGGATAATTTCTTTAGTTTATAGTCAGTTTAGTCATGCCAGTGTTACCTATTCGGTGCCAATCTCATTTCTATCTGGAACATACTTCTAGTGAGCTCTTCTGTAATTAATTAGTGCAAATACTGTTTCAGAATCTGAAGTTCTCCATTTTAAGTCTTGGTATGGCTAAATGCTTCATACTTCATTCACTGTCAAGATTTTCAGATCTCATCAGATTTTCATAGGTTTTGAACACAGTTTTCTTCTGTGGAAAGCTCTCTTCAGTGATAACATTGATGGTCCAGTGACAACATTAAGGTTTTCTATTTACTATAATGGATAATAACAGTACTTTAAATTCAAGGAAAAAACCCAAATGCGGTCCTCAATCTTCTGCATACTAATATATATTTGATAACATGCATTAGTAAGCAGTGCTTAGTTATTGTCTTTGGAGGTGCAATCATTTGATTCTTTTGGGAGAAAACCCTAATATCGATATAGCTTTTAAAAAAAAAAAAGACTAATAGGTTGACAAACCTTAAAATCAGATGAGTCATTTAAAGTTACTTGTCCATAATTCCAGTTGTTTCCATAGTTTCCTTCTTTCTGGAAAATTATCTTTTCCATACCATGTTTATTACTTATGCTAACGCTCAAACGGTAAACATCAGCACCATACATGTGATACCTACAGGAGTAATAGCAACATTTTGTTTGATTAGGTCAAAGTGAAATTTCCCAAAGTTCAGAAAGAAATGTCAAGTTTTTAATTTTACAAATAATTTTATGAAATTAGGACTAATTTGTGCTGAGCATGAAAACAAAATGAATCATATGTTTAGATCTACACCTGAAAGTTTTACTTTGTATTTTGATATATTTTTGGCAGAGGTATAGCTTAGCTTCATGGATAAAACATTTCAGTGATTCTTAATATAATTTCTCTATAGAAATGAACATTGGATGGAGGTTGAGAACACAGTCACATTAAAGCTAACTGCAAGACTCAAACCTATAGTGGAGTCAGGGTTTCAGGCCTGGAGTTTCAGGTTGGTCATAGAAAATCAAATAGAGGGAGGCTTGTATTCCTGGTACATGGACTTTGATTAATAACACATTTGAAAGAAAATTATTTAGCTTTACAAAGCATACAAAGCATAAGTGTAGGATATATTTAATCTGTAGAGGTTACATACATACCAAAAGCTTAGACAAGATGGATCTGAAGAGACCAAGGGCAGACTCACAATCCGGACTCTGACTTCTCTGAATAATCCAAGTCCCATGGGTGTTGAAATGTAAAATCCTGTAAAATAATGAACATATTTTAGTGGACATAGAATAATTTTTTTTTTTTTTATGACAACAAGTGTTTATTTTTAAAAATAGTAACAAATGGAAAAGCACAGATAGAGCCAAATGATTTGAAAGATTTCTGACCCAATAAGAATAAATGATTATTCTAAGTTATGCTTATCAGTCAACAGCATATTATAATGAACTTCTAGGTTTGCAGGACATTCCTCAGAACTAGACATGAAATTGGAAACTAGCCCTCTTGAAATTAGTGAGAGATTTGCCTTTTATTCAACAAAGTCAGGAATTCACTCAAGTTACTTCTACTTAGTTAATAAAAACGTCTTCCTATTTGACAGTTACTCATGGCTTTGCAGAAGGATTTCCTGACATTTAATACTTTTCATTTACATAATAATGGGAAATGTAGGGTGGGGAGGGAGGGAGGAAGGCAATGCCTAAGTGAATATTTTATAGCAATGGAAAGCAATATCAACATGAAAAATACATCATTTGGGGAATCTGCTTGTCAGGCATTTCTGAATCAATTCCTTGCAGCCAGAAAATCTGGACTTCCTGCTGCCACATGGAAATATAATGTGAGACCAGAGTACAGAAGTGCTGTGGTTTGTCACAAGAAAAACAAAATTAGGCACAAAATTAAGAGTCCTAAAATAAAATTTTTTCTTTATTGAAATAATGGCTGTAATTTTGGATGTTATATTATCTATCTACATATTTTATATATATATATATATATAGAGAGAGAGAGAGAGAGGAAATATTACATACACAGAATTTTCAAATAAATCATAGTTTACAGATATATATAATTTATATTATATATACAATATTTGCATAGTATTATACTGCATTATTCTGTTAGCTATAATTCTAGATTATCTAGCTTTTTGCATGTGGGAGGTTCAAATACATGAAAAATTAGTCTGAAATCTGAATCAGGTCTTTCATTTACTGTGCTGACAGAAAAGCATGAATTAAAAATGGTGTTTAGCTTTCAGAGAATGAGCATGGCATTCTTTCTTAGAAAAGGTCTTCGTATATCCAAAGAGACACAGTTCTTTGTCTTTGTTTTGTTAATTCTCTGAGCATTCAGAATCAATTTGTACTGAATGTGGTTTTCTTTTTGTACTTTTGCTGTTAGAATAAATTATTTTATAACCTGTACCATTTTGGCATGAAGGGTAACACTGTATAAAATAGTCAGCTGCAGAGAAAGTGAACTGAGTTTTAAGCCTAATTTGAATAAAAGGTAAATCTTTTCAAGTGAAGGTGTGAAGTACTATACTGATTTGGTTTTGAGGCTTGTTAACTATATATTAACTCTCTTTTGCTTTCCGAGAGTAGAAAAACAAAATTACACTGTCTCACTGAAGATATTTAATAAGTACATAATAATGATACCAGCTCATATGTTTACATCAAGCAGAGGTAGTAGAAATATGAATATTCAGAATAATAGCAATATTGCATATAGAACTATCAGCTTAGATCTATCACAATGAAATAAAGACCATCTAGAATAAATTCAAGACAGCTAGAAATCAGTTGAGTGTTGTGTTAAACAAATTTCATGTTCTTTCAGCTCATTTGTGTTCTAGGAGATGAGCATGAAGATGAAATAGTGTTCTGATGACTGTTTAGAAAATCTGCATTTACCTAGAGAGAGGTAAATAATTTGTATCAAATGACGTATTGATTTATATTTTCTTTTCCTGTAAGTAAGAAGTAAGATCTGCCAGAATAATTTGCATTTTTTTTCCAGGTATTTAATTGTCACTGAATAAATTCTGAGTAGGTCTTGCATAGAATACATATGGTCATAACAAAATTCAAACCATCTTAACAAGTTTTAGGTGTACTGACAAATCAGCCCAGAAAGACATACTTTTATTTTTCTGTTGAATCAGAAACAAACTTTTAGAGTCTAATTCTGGGATGACCATTCATGATACATATTCCAGATCTGATTCTTATCTGTATTGTATCTTTAACCAGAATCCACATTTGATGTGATCACTCTTCCAATTAAGTTGTTGTGATATAGCAGTTGCTGTAGCATTTGTGGGCTAGGTATATGTGTATTGAAAAGTATTTTTCACAGTGTGCAATTGTAACTGGGGACATAGGTGCCCTATGCACCATACAGGTCAACTTTATGTTAAATCAAAATTATTCTTTAATAACTATGAGGCTGTCATGAGTAGGTACAGATGAAATTGAAGTAGTATCTCCCTAAAGTGTAAATATATATTTTTTTTCTTAAGATAAATATATATTTATTTGAGCTATGACACTTGCATAACAGAAAGACCTTTCTCAGATAAGGCTCTCTGGCATCTTAATAGAGCTGAAACACTTCAACACCTCACATTTTATCACTTAGTATGCTCCTTTAGTTCTACTTTTAATTTTAGCATATTTACACAAGATGGCAATGAGTTGTTTTTTGTCTGCGAGACCTAATTCAATATCTGATGTAACACCACATCTTTACATGGTAGATAAAATTACATCCCAAAAGTATCACTATGAAGAATTGGTCATATAATGAAAATAATGTAAGTTAAAGAAAGCTTTTCCTTTAATCTGCAAGCAATTTGTAGTCCACCTTACCTGATACGTTGCCAAATGTATGATCAAAATCAGGACCAGTCAAAAAGGGAAAGGTAGGGCCTTGAATTCTCTCCCAGTCTGAATCATCATCTAAATCTTGACTCCAGTAACAAAAGCCGTTTTCAAAAGTGCAATTGACTTTCTCAACATCTGTGAATAAGAGTCTCCAGTAAGTAAGAATGACAGACACATTAAGTATTTGTTTAGAATTACACAAGAATGCACAACAAGCAATGTAAATACTTGTAAGTGTTTGAAAATTGGAGCCCATTGTGATTTTCATTTTGCTCTTCTAAGTAGCAATATTACTCAAATCAAAGTGTAATTTGTACTTGTCAAGCAATACATGATCACCAATGGTGCGGTAGCACCAGTGAGGCTGTCCCTATCTGACCTTGTACACATTCAACCCGTAGCAGCCTGGTGGGGGAAGGAGAGAGGGCCCCTTGGACAGCTAACACTAAGGGCTAAGCTCTGTCTTTTCCCCTTTTCTTAGCCAAGGCCTGGGCTGCTCCAGGTGAAAAGGCTTCCCTTCAGAGCTACCACCTGAACACTCAGTAGCTAAAAGATGTGCTCCATGCACGAGCAATGTCCCTTTACTTGTCCTTTGCCTTCACGACTTCTCTTCAATGTTATATATTTGCTGTGGCATCCTCATCACTTTCCTTCCTGTAATATTTTCTCAGTCTTTCTTTTCAAGTGTCTTGAAATGCAGTAAGCCCATAGGAAGAGCTTCCAGAGAGATAAGAGATAAGAATCTGCCGGTCCTTCCTTCAGCATATTCTTTCCTAGCCACGTCACCCATCAAAATTTAGCAGCCTAAATTAAGCTTTCACTTGCCCAATTTGCATCTAAGTCTTTCCCAGCTATCTAAAAGTAAAAAAGCATGAGCCATAGTGCTACATTTTGTTCATCGCTGAAAATTTACTGCATGTAGATTTCTTCCTAATGTCTATTCACTGAAGCAGAAGTCTTCTTGAATGTTGGTTTACCCACTTGGCACTACTACTTGTGGTAATGAGTTAAGACTTCAGAAACTCTGGGTAACAGGTACTGCCTGGTGATCACAGGGTAACAATTAGTGTCAGTGATTCTGCTATGCTCAGTAGTGAATAAACCAGCTGTGAGGAAACCTAAGGAAATATGGCCAGAGTTTTACTGTTTTAAGAGCTTAAACTTTATAACTCTCTGACCAGATCCAGGATTGTAAGCCTGTAGATAGCCCTACTGATATCAATGATTTGATGTCTGGTAGGAAGAAGTTTCTCAGAATGGATCTAGTTATAGGACTGAGGCCAGAAAATGTTTCCTCTCTTTCCATCTCCACGCTTTCCCTTTATCAAACTGAAAATACAGATTCATCAAGCTTTCTTGATGACAAAAAAAAAAAAAAAGAAAACATACTTACTGTTTAGCTCACTTGTATTAAATGCAGTATACAATGCGTTAAAACCATCATAATTTTCAGAATAATCTGATTCAAACTCTACTGTAGCTTCATTAGAAAAAATGTAAAATGTTTCAGGATTAGTCCCTGAGAGAGAAGCTGAGAATAAACAAAGAACAAAATTGTCAGAGAAAACAATCCCATGTGCAATAAAATCCTCATTGATATTATAAAAATAGAGTGGACTTGTTTTTTGAGTTTGGAAGAATGTTCCCTCTATTATACTGTGCAACCTGCCTACAACACCTTTAAAATCCAGAACAGCATTTAGCTGTCCGGCTGCTGTAATTATTCTGCATACCCCATCTCACATAGCTTTAACACGGATATCAACTAATGGAGGAGTCTTTCATATTACACTGTGATTAGGCTTTTTTGTTTGATAACAACCATATATTCAGTGCTGCAGTCTTCATATCCTGAATATACTGAAGTTTTACATACATGCACTTTGAAACTCTATAATCACAGTTATGGCTACATCTTTATTGCCTGTATTTGCTTTCAGGGTTTAATAATTAGTACATATACTTAAAGAATTTAAAGGAGTAAAGAAACTATGAAATTATATAGTAAGTTCATTTTGTGATATATGCATGAAAAATATACAGGAATAGTTACAATATTTCTAAATTTTTACTTTAAATTCACATATATGAATTTTGTATGTGTGAAAAGAAAGGATGAGAATACAGTAACGTAATTACTCCCCCAACTTAACCTGATATAGCTCCAGGCAACAGCAGTAGATTAGTCCCTGTATTCAGTACGAATCAAAACTTGAATTCTTTCCTGTTCTGTGAAAGAAGTTTGCCTTCAATCTTTTTCTTCTGCAATCCTTGCCCAATTTCAGATAGATAGAGTTTCCTTTTCTGTAGGTGTTTTCTTTTTCAGAACTTTGTGTCTACATGTAATACTATAAATTTAAAAGAATGCCAGACCATTAAGGAAAGACAATGGGCATCATCTTGTACAACTGAATTATATATGTATTATTCTTCCCTTTCCTCCACAGGTTATTTTTCTTTATTTAAACAGAGAGCTTAAATCTGGAGATCTATTGTAATTCTTCTTTCCTTTTTATTTGGTATTTCCCATAGATCTATCCCTCAGACTGCAAGGTTTTAGGCAATCCACTGACAGACATTCTTTAACATTGCTTTTATGTCTTTGTAATATCACCAGTCACTCCCATAGCAGCCCTCAAAATTATGTGAATTAATGGTTCCTTCAGAGAAAAATATTGAAACAATCTCTCATATGCAATTTGAAATCCTAAAGAGGGATTAAGTTTAGCAATAGTAAAGGGGTAGAATTTCTATTTTCTGTATCTCAAGATTCTTTTACTACCTCTCACTCATACTCTCCTCCTGCTTCCAAAAATATCTGAAGTATCTCCACTGATCTGTATAAACACTCATATGTGACGGAATTCAGTTGGATAGACTTTATCTGGTGGAAAATAGACAAAATCCCAGTTTTCTAGAATAGAATTGTAGAGGGAAGTGATCATCAGTTTCTCTAGGCTCGAGCAAAGCAATGCCATGCAAATAATGCCTTCATTTTATGTCACCGTGAGTAATGTTAAAGGATCTTTGGGCAACATATTTGCAATGAAACGTACTCCACAGACCATGGCACTGGTCAAATTAGCAAGATCGTTCAAAATGGACCTTAAAAAAGCAGTGATTTCTGTATGTATTAGGTAAGCTTTTATCTGGTCACTTCAAAAGAGTAAATAAGTATTTCCAGCTTAATCATCTAACGGGGAAAACTATAGACACATTATTTCACTTAAACATACACACACCCACACGCACACACGCACACGCACGTTTTTTTTCCACCTCAGAAAAATTATTTTACTAATGAATTTTTATTACTGGAAAAGTAAAATTGACTGAAAAATAACCTTACCTCTTAAAATCTTGTTTTGTCCTTTCCCTTCAAAAATATATAAAACGTCTGTATACGGTTGTGTATTAAAAGAAGTGAAATTTAGTTTAATGGATAATCCTTGAGGCGCTCTAAGATAACGACACAAAAACAAACTTCAGAATTGTATGTTCTTCAGAATTATATGCTCTCCAATAATCTTTTTTTGATTATAGGAAATTAATTGTTTACTTGAATGCTGAATTTAAGTTCAGAAAAAAAAGTGAAATTACATTTTAACAGTACTAACTAAAACAAACTATTTGGTGGATTTCTAGTTGTAAAGTTACCAAAGGAAAGGGACATAAACCTTTAGTAAGAGCAGAAACACTCCTTTATCCACTGGAGTGAAGTACCTTTTGGAGACTATCTATTAAAATTCAGAATTTAATATTCAGCTGAGCATCTTTTTTTCTCTGCTGCTAATTAAATTACACTCACTTTTTAACATTTTTTACTGATAAATAACATATTACTTGCCTAAGGAATTATGCGTGGTATCAATATGAACAGCAAGATACCAAAATCTATCTCCCGAAAGTCCAAAATAATGTCTCTTATGCCAAAAGCAGAATTTGCATGAAGATTTGGGGGTCTCAAAACTCCTGTCTGGGAACACATTATCAAGCCTAACTATCACCCAGTAAGCTTAATAACAAAAGCCATTTTAACTAAAGCGTAAAAAATGCTGTTTTCTATTTTGCTGCAATTAAAATCTTTTAGTAATCTAAATTTAAGTTGTTTTCCCATTGCCTTCCAAGTAAACACATACGGTAGTCCACATTCTAAAAATGTAGCTCCCTATACCATTATTTGTTGTTTTCTGGAACTGAGAGACCAAATGAAGTTCTAAATAATCTTCTAACGCTTGTCAGTACCAATTAGTAGAGAAGCATGAAGTGAATATTTGTGGGTTGGGTTTTTTTTTTTTTTTTTCCTTCTCCACAGGAAAAAAATTATCCCTGGTAAAAGAATTAAACATGTAGCTGAAAATGAGGATCTAATATTTTGGAGAAATACTCTACACACTGCACGTACTTTTAAAAGGAGAGGAAGTTATATCATTGTTCAGGAAAGAATTAGAGGAATGAAAATATAAAAACTTTTACCAAAGGTTATGGGATTTTTTTCTGGACAGGAGGAAAGGTGGAAAAGAAATCAAACTTTGGAGGTACTATACAGGGACTTTTAACACATTTTAAAAAGGGTAATAGAAATAACAGCACAAAATGTCTCTCATGGGTTACTGCAAAATCCCAAAAGCTCCCGTATACAAACCATACTGCTCTGAAAGAAAACAAAATTTGAGTACCCCAATTATTTTTTCAGGACCTTACTTTCAGCTATTTTTCAGAAGCAGATAACTGGAAACTAAAACTAGATGGTTGCTTTTGTCATTTATCAATCTAACTACACAAAACTGCAACACCTCTACTGTATTACTTGCAATAACTCATGAATTTTTCCAAAACTAAGTTTTTGATAACTATATACTACTATGTAGATAGATACAGATGTCTACTCAATACAATGCCTCTTGTACCTATAGCAGCCTTTGATAGAAAATTTTAGAGTGCTCCTATTAAGGAAGTAACATACCTGAGACATAATTATTTACCACGCTCAAATTAGTGCATGTGACACCATGCACTAAGGAACAAGCTTATGATCCACAGGATACAATCTTGTGCATTTCCTGTGACACACACTAGATTTTAAAACCAGCTGTAGCCTATAATTATTGGTGAATTGTACTGCTGAAGCTGTTCCTGCT